GAGTGATCATAACTGTAGCCTGTTCAGTGGTTTTAACTTACAACTTGAACATCACAAATCTGATGGATTGTTTCTGTTTTTTGTTGTTACTGAGATCAGTTGCTCAGAAAATATTTTGGTGTCTGTTCACCTTATTGAGTTGATGCTGGTTCAGGCACTACTTGATGATTTTGATTTTCGTCAATGTCGTCCATTTCTGATGGCAGTGGAAACCACGAGGAGTCCTCATTTGAGTAGTGTTTGTTTATTATTAACAAGTCCTTTCTGTTCCATTGAAGTCTGCTCCTGTTCAAGTCTGAATGGTAAATGGTCTGGGCTCTACTTTTGCTTGTACTATGCCTGCTTCATTCTATCAGTTATGCACAGGGTCTCAGATATAAACTGTATCCCCTGGGTTTAGTTTTTTTTAACTCCTGAACTTCCCATTGGTCAAAGTAATATTTTTGTCTGGCTCTCATTTGGACCTTCACTTTCCACTCAGTGCTCTTTTTTTGCTTATTTATTGTGGATACATTGCTTCTTAGCTTTCTCCTCATCAACACTTGTGACTAATGTGGGGATGATGATGTGATTTTGAAGTCCTAACTTGTTGCAAATTGTTGGTATTCTTCTGACATGAAGCATGGGCGATTGTCTGCGAATACTTCTTGTAGAACTCCAAATCTGCTAAGGCTGTGTTACATAGCTTTAATCACAGCTCTGCTGTTCTGCAATAGTGTTTGCTATACATTCAGGTAATTGGAGTGATGACACAGATCTTCTACCCCCATGGGAGTACTTCCTGCCTTAAGAGTGTCTGTTATGGTTATGCAGCTCTATATGTTTGTAGGATGTCACAATTCTGGATAATATAATCTATTTCTTTGTCTCCTTCAGTTCTTCATTCTTTTCACTTATTGATAATATTAACTATTTTGATGAGGTTTAGTCAGTCGCAAGAATATTTTCCTAATATGGGCTGTACATTCTTTGGTGTTATAATAAAACATGATATCAATTCTACAAGTGATCAGAAGACCTCTACATGGATGTTGAGCTATACCATCTAGAAAGCTATCCACTGTTCCTTGATATTTGTAGGTGCAGGATCCTGTGTATGAATAGGGCTCACTTCCATGTCCTGAAAATGTTTGATTGAACTCATGTTGGGTAAACCTGGTGACCATACATTTCATCGGAAGTCTCCAGAACGTTCCTTGAACCATTTGTGGGCAACTTATGTGAGTTTGTAGCCCCAAGGTTGGGAAAATTTGAAATTGACATGTAGTAGAGAGGTGGGGCCCTATATCAATGTTTTGGTGGGTGGGGGCAATACCCTAGTGCCAGTCCTGTTAGAAAGGATCTGAATACTTCAAGCATCATCTCTCTCTATGTGTATTCATGCATTAAATGAGAGCCTCTGGTGAACAGTGCAATACCCTAGGTCAATGATAAATTGTCTAAAAGAGTAAAACACTGAGTATTAGATAACTATTGTGATATATTTTCTATAAACATTTTATCAACAAATAGAAGCTTTTGTCAAAAGAACTAATTTTCCTTTTAAATCATTGAAAGCAAATTTAAATCACTTAACAGTTAAACTTAAGTACAATCTGACTGTTTCTTTCCATACTTTGACATCTGTTACTGTTAAAGGAGCATTTTTGACATTTCCACCTGTTAAAGTTAATTCTTAAATTTTATGTCTTGTTTCGTATACACACAAACAAGCACATTCTTATAGTTAGTTTCAATATCTTTACCTTTCATTTCAATTGTGTACACATGCAATTAACTTTGCTAATGCATGCATATAACTGCTGCTTGTTCTAAATTCATTGTTTTGTGTTTCTTAATTTCACCCAGACTCACATGAGTCCATGAATATTGTTTGTGGGACAAATGTTCTAGGCGCCCATAAATATCTACTATAAAACATCCTCACATTTGTATCAACAGTGTAAAATCCTACAACAAAGTGGTGAGTTATTTTTACCCAAACATCATAGTAACCCACAACATTACAACTGCCAAGGATTGTGGTTTGGATTAATGCATTCACTTCTACCAAAGAACTAATCTCCACTGAAAGAGGAATGCACTCCCTCACTTGGGCCAGAAAAAATTCAACTTAATAAATCTATACTAATATATACACTAATACAGACTTGATATTAATACACAAACTCTTGTTCACATGCCAAATCTTTATAGGGTGGTTTCCAATTAATCATATGTGAAGAGAATGGAGTTTTTTAAATTAAAAAATGATATTGCCTGACATTTTTTTTAAAGTAAATGTGATGTATAAAAATTCAATTTTAAACAAAGTGTAGTATCATATGCAAATGAGAGAGGACACGCATAAAAGGAAAGCAACTAGGAAATAAGACAGCATTACTCAGTGAACCCGTTTGCTTAATGTAACATGGAGAACTGTGCTAAGACTGCTACTACAGAGAGATATACCCAACATAACAATGGCATTGCTGATAGGTTCCTTAAATGAACTGGAAGACCCAGAACATGTGGAAATGTGAATAAATCTTTTGCAGTATTTGCAAGAGTAAAAAAATTATGAGACACCAAGACCAATGAACCCATTTGCTTAATGTAACACAGAGAACTGTGCTACAGAGAGATATACCCAACATCACAAAGATACTGTCTTCTTCTTTTTCTTTTTCTTCCAACACCATCATCATCATCCTTATCATCATGATGCCATTTTGAGGAAATTCAGGTAGCATAACAGTTATCAGCATATTAAGTATAAATCAGACATCATCTGTTATGCTCACTTTCTCATTAATGCTCTTGATGTGAATCCATCTATTTTCTCCCCAGTTATAGGTTAAATAGTAGAGTAAACTAGACTCTCTCACCTTGGATAACAGCCAATCTAAGAGAAGGTCTCTAGCAGAAAAACAATTTACACATAGATAAAAAATTAAAGCCAAATTTATATAATTATTAGAAAACATAAATCTCTCACTTCACACCAATTTTGTCTAGCTAAATCACACATATGCTACACTCTACTCAAAACAAATTTTAAAACAAACACAAATATATCAGAATGCTGACCATTATCAACACAACTCTCACATGCCACAGATGTCTACAACTGTCATTTCCCTTATGTAGGCTTTAAAAGAAGCCAGACAGGGCAGAGAGAGCAGAGAGAGAGTAAGAGAGAAATTTCAACCACACACACACACATGCTAACCACAGAGGCTACCTGAGAGCATGGCTGACTGCCCGTTCAGCCATTAGGCTATAAAAATGACCTCCTGTGAATACAGAAAGAGAATGGGCTCTACTATCAACACAACAAGCCCAATCAGATAACCAACAAGCAGCCAGCTGAGTTAAGCATACCCCCTTTTCATGCTATCATTTCACACCTCATACACCATACATTTGAATGCTACACTATACAACTTACCAGAGACATTTTCATATCTTGTAAATGAAAATAAATCTTTGCTCATTTCTCCAAACCAGTGTCTAATTTGTTTCTTTACTCCAACCAACTCAGATCAGGTCTACCCTGAATTAAAAACCATGAGTACAACAAGAAACCACTTCACTATATTTCCTAAGAAGTAATGGCAATTCATAGATAATAAGAGAAATCTCCAGATAGCCATGATTGCTTAGCTCTGAAGAGATATGATACTGATAAATGATATGGTATATATAAATAAAAAAAAATTAATGTGCCAAAAAGAGATTAGAATAAAAGAAAAAGTATACATCAATTTATTTGATTTTAAACAAGTTTTCTTGTCTTAACTAATAACCACCCATCACAAAAGACTAGGCATGCAAAAATTGTCATATTAATATAGATCCAATGTGATAAAGGAATGGAGAAAATGAAAGAAAGTTCTACTCAAAACTGACACAAATATCCCACTTTCTAATGTTTCTTCTGCAAATGTACAAATCTGAAGATATTTCTAGCCAGCCTTAGCATCTTTAAACCAGAAAGGCAAAAGCAATGGGGAAAAGAGTAGAGGAGATGTCTTAATCTGTAGCAAATTTATTATTATTATTATTATTATTATAAATAAATAAAAATAAAATATAAAATAATAATAATGAAAATAATAAATAAAATAATGATATAAAAACGAATGTATAAAATAAATTGAATAAAAATTAAAAATAATAAAAAATTTCCCAGCATGCAACAAAAACTGTTCCTGCCACAAATATGAACATCCTGCCAAAAGATATTAAATCTCTTCACCACGAACCTTAGTATGGGCAAGACATGTCCAGCTTCTCTCAGTGATATGGCTTGTAATACTTTGGAGTAAATTCTCCCTTTTATCACATGTACCATAAAACAATCGTAACCTAAAAAACACATGCACCATACACACAAAAAATATCAGTTGTATGAAATTAACATACAATTTACCATGATTTTCCTGTTATTTGTATACATTTTATTTCCTGTCAAGTATGCTTTTATCTCTGTGAACACAAGGTTAATTTCTGCTGCTATGATGTGAGTGAATCCCCCATAAGTCTGAAAGAGAATTTATCATAACCAATGGAATTAAAAAATTTCAAAATACACTCTCCAAGAAATTTTCCAGAGCCTAAAACCAATAATTAACTGAAAACTAGTAATTGGGGATCCATTACCAGTGCAGCACCTCCCCATTGCATTATAAAATAAAATACTGTTCTGAATGAACCAATGTAAAAAAAAGACAAAGAAAAAAATATTGAATTTAATCATTTAAAAATTTTAATTCAATCTGTCTTTCCGTTTCCGTAAATTTCTAAAGTTGGTCGAAAAAATATTCAGAGGTCAACTTTTGAACCCAGATGATAAGAAAGGAAACTTTTATGGATTAGTTTTGCCTTCTTGTGTTGAGTGTCAAAGGGCAGTAAGAAAACTAGCAGCAGCCGTAAGCTGGGTCTGCTCCGCACTCCAGCAGTCGGAGGGAGGCAGGCATACACCGCAGTTTTCCTGCTGCCTGTAACCTGTTCACACAATGGAACAACAACAACAACAACAACAAAAACAGCAGCAGGACAACGCGAACACTGCGGCTATTAAAGACAACAGTAATATTTACAGGAATTTATGGAAGTTGCTTGTCTCGCCCAAAGTATTAACTGGAGTTTTACATTTCCAGAATAAAAGCGCTTGCGACTGGTGGGTGGTTCGCTTGATCCCTAGTGTTTATTGTTGTTATAGTTTTACTTAAATTTTATTTTTCAAGCTTTTGATTCATTTGTCTACTTTGCTTAGTTATTTTATTGCTTGAACCTAAGGCAATAATTTATGTTTATTTTATTAAGCTGGCCATTAATTGTTCTAAGTGCGTTATGTTAAATACTCAAAATGAATCTTTAAAAAGAGTTCTGCTAAGCAAAGGGAGATCACTCGCAATTCTAAAATCTTCATTTAGATGATTTAGTAAACAAAATCATATTACATTTCAAAAAATTGTTCCTGCAGCCAGTGTAATTAATCAGTGTATTTTTTTAGGTTTATAAAACAAAAGCTAAATTTTAGTTTTTTTAGTTTTTTTTTGCTTTATTCTCCATTAAACATTCTTTTGGTAATGCAGTTCAACTGTTGCTTAAGAATAAGATTTACTCAACGCAATGCTCAACCATTAATTAACAATTCACATTTTTTTTCGCATCTTAAGTTTAAGAATCAACAATTTCTATAACTATTTTTGTTATATATATAAAGTTGATTCTTCTACATTCTTTTATTAGATAAAAGCTTGGAAATGAACCTCATACAAAGCAGTTTTTAAATTTAATAATGTTACAATGCTGAAAAAATCTTTCGTTTCTTAAGGATGTTCTTATCTTTATTTTTAAAACATCTGATATTTATTTTGAATTCTATATTTTGTACAGATCATACATAAAACAAGAATACTGTTTGTAATATTTGGTATTTTTTTACTACTAACTACGAACAACAATTATAATGCGATTTAGTAATTTAAGTAAAGTTCTTGGTTCGTGTCTACATTCAAATTTATTTTTAATAGATTTTCAAAATTATCAGGATCAAAAAATAAATTTTGAAAATTGGCAGTAAGAAAAATCTAGTTTTCTGCTTTTTCTTTTTTATCACAATATCTGTGAATGTGTATTTTTCTGAATATTTGAATTGAAAGTCTTATTTTTCTCAGTTAATTTTAACTTCAAAACACTAAATTTAATAATACTATCAAAAACTTAAATCTTCAGTCTTTCCATAAAAGAAGAGTTAAAAAACCGAATATCAACCTACTTATGTTTTTTGTTTTTGCCATGAGTTTTTTTTCTAAGAAATTAATTCGTCTTGTTACATGTTCAAAACAATTTTTCACTTAAAAAAAAAAATTAAAATCAAATAGATTGTTTTTTTATTAATGATTTCTTGGCGAGAAAAGATGATTCTCAAGTATTTATTAAAAAAAAAAAATTACTTTTATATTTCAAAATAGTAATAAAAGCAGATTTCGTCGTTGTCACACGCAAATCAATCGTGTTTAAAAATTCTCAGCCTTGGTTTACTTTAAAAATTTAAAAAATTATTTTATCTCTGGTTTCTGATTAAAAGTAAACTTCCTTTTTATTTTAAATAATTTTTTTTTTTTTTTTTAAATTTGAGTATAAAAAAATGTTGAAGTTAGTGAAGTAAATAATAATAAAAAAAAACTGGCTAAGATTTCGTTTGTTTCGTTAAGGAAAAAAATAAAAAAAATTTCTTATTAATATTTTTGGTTTGGGATTTAAAAAAAAAGTTGTCTCGGTAGTGATTTCATTCATTACGTTCACCAAAAATTGGTCTATTTTAAAAATTTTTTTTTTTTATTTTATTTTATTTTTTTGTGCTAAATGGAAGAATTTCTATGTTTGTTGCCATTTTGATTAAAAAATAAATAGCCCCAATAATTGCAGAAAATAATTTTATGATGTCATGAAACAGAAATTTTAATTTTATGATGTCACTGTCCCAGGAGAACATTATTATTAAATATTTGCACCTGTCTGGAATTTACATTTTTGATTAATTAATTAGTCGCTGTTTGTTCATTTCTCTTTTTACTGATAATTCCTTGACTTTTTTTTTTACCTGATGTAGTGAATTTTTTTTCTAGTATTTGAGATTATGCCTAACGTAGCTTTTTTGTAAGAAATTTTGACGTAACGTGTACTACAGACCCCTACCAAAACAGAAAAGAAAAGCAAAAGATTTTTATTTAATATTTTTTAAAACGTTTGATAAGAAAAATAAAAAGAATTTTTAAAAAGCATCAGTCGATTTTCAATAGTATTTTTCTTAATGTTTTAGTTTTTCTTTTTAGTTTTGTTTAAGAATTTTAATACAGGTTCCCTTTTTTGCTACTCTACTCTCTAACTCTAGTGATTTAGTTTGAATTCTCTTGGAAAAATTGAATTCTTTATTTTAAAGAAAAAATCTTATAAATCAAATTTATATTCCTATTGATTGGTTATTTAATTTTTCAAACAAATTAAAAGAAAAATCAAAGTTCAAGGAAGCAATCTGTTCTGTTTTTCTCGTATTTCAGTTTTCTTAGTTTCTAAAAAACCCTCAATCTTCTTACCTAGGCTAAATCTTTTCTTAATCTTTTCATTTTGCATGAATACTTTGGTAGACAAATATAAATAAACGATTTAAAGATTTTGATATGTTTACGTAACTAGTTTAAGTAAAATTATTTTAAAGACTGTTACTGTGAGAAACCCTATGTGTCCATGTCGAAATGGCAAATTGTATACACCGAGAACTCTGGCTTTTCAAGTCGGTTACTGTCCATCTTTATTGCCTCTTTTTTTTCTTTCGGTTCTGATAATTGTGATTGAATGTTTCTAAATAACTGATAGCTTTTCTAATTAAACTAAACACGAACATAGAGAATTCCAACTCGTACAAGGTTCTGAGACAAAAATTTATGTCTGTAGTTTGCATTTGCTTTTCTCTTCTCGATAGATACAGAATTTGGTTCCACCAGAAATAAACATTTTTGCTATGATTACTCTTCTTCTTAGAGAAATGACACAGGCATTCATCTTTTTTATTTGACACTTGTAAAATCTTTGCAAAAAATTTTTCTTGCATTCTGTGCAAGGATGAGGGAGGCGATTTGGCACGGTAAAAAAATAAAAATATTCAAATTCAACTCGTTCCCAAGGAACGAAAAAAAAAAACAGTAACGTTTTTTTTTTTTTTTTTTACAAAAGTTGTTCCTACTTTTTTTTATTTTTTATTTTTCTTTAGTTCAGTTTTTTATTATGAAGAATTTTCATACAAGAAATTAGACACAGGAAGAATTTTTAATGATTCCTCTTACTACGTCTCAAACCGTTACAACATCGATTTGCTTCTTGTAATGTACTTTGATCCACTGTTCTTTTACTTACTATGCAGACACAAGGCACATGAACTGAAAATAACTCAGCTCTATTTGTGTTACCTGAAGAATATGTCTAATAATTAAGAACATGCTTAAAAGCTGAAACTTTGCAAATTAATTATTTGATATATCTTCTTTTTTTTTTTTTTTTCAATGAGTAATTTTTATCTTCTTGCATAAATTATAAGTTCATTATTTTAAGTTGGTATCAGTAGTGATAAATTAATAATTTTCAATAAAAAAAGTATTTTGTCTGAAACTAATTAAAATGTGTTATAATAATATGAATTTGTCTTCATACATTTTACCAAATCTTAATTCATATAGACTTTTTAAAGTTTTTCTTCACAAACTTATGACAATTGTTTTTTTTAGTCTGGTTTCATGATTTTTTTTGTGTCTCTAGAGCAAATCTGAAGATTTTTGAATGCACTGATGTAAAACATAGTATTCTCGTTATGATTATGTTGTGGTCTTATGTGGCCATCCAGTAAAGACTTTTAGTGACTGGATGGCCAAAAAAAGGTTTTCTGTTCAAAACTATTGAAAATATTTTTTCCGTTATAGAATCATGGCTCGGAACACGTTTTTTGAACACCTTTAAAAATTGACAAATATCTTTTTCAAATTGAATTTTCTAGACACTAGTAGTTTTTTATTATTTCCTTTTAAGTGTCATTTTTAGTTATACGTATCATTTTAAATCAGTGTGAAATTTTTTTAGAAAGTACAAGGTTTTCTATGGCCTTTTTGTCCACCCTGTATATAAAATTAAAATTTAATATAAAATTAATTATTTGAATCGCTTTTAAAGAAAAGAATGCATTGTTGTTAGGTATGATCATTTGTGTGGGTTAGGGTTTGTCATAAAAATAAACAAAATCTAATGTTGACAAACCATTTATAAAACTTGTTTTGAAGATAAAATAATTACATCAAAAGTGGTAAATAATTTGAGATGAAAAAAATGATTTTGTTATTAGAATTGACTCCTTCTGGTATTACACAGAAAAAGGTAGTCATTCTCAAAACTTTGGTTATCTGACAAAGCTGTGGCAATTTTTAATACAATTAAACATGGATGTAAATTATTCAAAATTAGTTACCTTAAATTCTTTTTCTTTATTTACCCCTTGATTGTATGTGTCATAATTGCTACACTTATGTATTCATCTGATTAAAATTTACAAGCAGTTTATTATCTGTTAGTTTTTACTTATATCTATTTATTGTATGAGGCAGCCTCATTTTTTTCTGTAGGCAAAAAGCTGTCATGTATTTATTTTTATATGCAAAACTTGTCTTGGAAAAAACACACATGCCCCAATTGTTTTAACAACTTTATTTTTTATTACAGATTCCCTTTTAAGTATATTTTTAAAAACTTCCAAAGTTTTATTAAATGGATGTATTTTGGTTGTAGATGAAGGCTTCTCTCATTAAAAGAATCTATAAACAAAAGATGACTATAAATAAAGAGCAAATAAATAAGCAACTTGTGTCTTGGTATCTGTGAGAACTTGCACGAGAACAAGTTCACTGTTCAGGATTGTTATTTCACTGATTCAAGTCAATAAAATTGTTCTTATTACGTGTGTGCATAATGTAATTTCTCACATTATATACAAATGCAATAAATACTTTTGGAAAAAAGAATTTGTTTTTCACAAAGTGGTTTTATTTATTTCAGGGGCTGGCAAGGTTTCCTAGCTCATGCCTGTCATAGCTTCATCACTGTCATTGATCCTCGTACTGTACAGGTGAGTTGATATGGAGCGGAGAAGCAACCTTTAGGTTTATTTTCCCCAGATGATATATCTTTCTTTTTTTTTTTTTTTTTATTTAACTCAGGAATGATATATTTGCATTGAAAATTTTTGATAATTTTAAAAAAAAATTTTTTATTACTTCTAGAAAAAAATATGTATCCAATTGTATAGAATTGTCCCATTTTTTGGTGGTATGATATGCTATAATAATAAAATGCTGTCTTAAGAGTGCATGAGAAAACCAGCCACTTTCTTTACTGCTGCAACATAAAAACATTTTCAAACATGACCTGAAGAAGAGACAACTGTGTTTGGTGGTAGATTGTATATGCAGTTATTACTATACTGTAGAGGAGAAATTAACCCAAATGTGGGCAGAAGGGTGAGAGGAAAAGCTTTTAGTGATCATCCAATAGCAGCTATCTACCCATTAAGTGCAGCTGATGTGCCATGAATCACTACTTAAAAATTGGCTTGTTCAACCACCAGCAATTCTGTCCTTCATCCACTGTAATCATCATTTGACACATGCAGTGCCTAACAAGACAATTTAGGAAGAATGATAAAATTACAATATGTTAATAAGAGCAAATTAATTTGATATTTATTGGCAGCATTTGTTGGCTATCAAATCAAGTAAAGAAATGATTCTTAGAAGTTTAAAGCAGTCATTAATGAAATTACAGGGCTTATCATCCTAATAGCCATAAGTCACTTTTACTTTTTTCTTTAAAATATCATTCTAGAAACAGGATAAATTTCATAAAAACTAAAATTTATAAAAATGTAAACGTTTTTTTTTTTTTTTTTTTTTACATTAATTTTTCCGTAAATATCTATATTTATAAAAAATACTTATCAGTTTAATAAACAGATCAATCTGAAAATGTGAGTTTAGATTTACATTATATATAATATATATATCAAACAATTGTTAATAACGGTTTTCCAAACCATCTTATAGATTACTTTTTCTTTCTAAGGTAACCAACAGCAACACTGAACACACAGAAAAAAAACAATGACACTTTTTACAAAAAATTAAATGCATAGTAACTATAAGCAAGGTGAATCTTCACTGAGAAACATCATAAAGAAATGAACAACTCCAGTCAACACAAACAAGAAAATTAAATTCATTATTTATCATAAAAAATTTAAAACTGCTAACCTCATCGTCAAAAATAAGAATTTACCTGCAAGATCTAAATTACAGAGAACCAATATTATGAATTTACATGTCCCTTAAGGAGCTGTGTTCCTGACCAATCCTAATTTGTGAATAATTATATCAAATATACTACAACATGTTTAATAAGAAGACTCACATTACATCTCTCTGGCCTTAGCTCAATTAAGTCTCATTTAAATACACATGGAGACCTACCAAACTCTATCCATAATTCATTGATAATACAAATATAAAAGCATCATCCAAATGTACAAAAAGGCTAAAATTAATAGAAGCATTATTAATAAAAATAAAAAACCAACACTCAGTAATATCAAATATGAACATGGCCACAATTTACTGACTGTATTTGGAAAATAAAACATTCCTATAACTCAGGATACAAATATAAAAAAATTCCAATATTCAGTTAAAAGTATAAAAAAAAATCATTCTTGATAATAGCTAAAAGTATAGCTAAAAGCACTTGGAAAACATTTGGACAATTTTTATATAATTTATGCTCTGAAAAGAAAGAAAATTATATGAACATATATAAGAAATTATATAAAAAAGAACTCAACCATTGCACCTTGTCAATGAAACTTATATATATAATATGAGGTCATCCCATAAGTTCTGTCCGAATTTTGAATAAAGAAAACAAGTGACCAAATGTTAAATTTAATTACAGATTCAGTCAACCATGTATTTTCCTTGATTATTTATGATTTCCTTCCATCTATTAACAAGCTTACTAATTCCATTACTGTAAAATTCTTTTGGCTTTGATTCGAAGACAAAGACAAGAAAATTCAGATTTTTTTTTTTTTTTTAGAAAAAGGTTGGAATGAGATCAAGCTTTCTGGATTGTGTTGGATTAAAGAATACAGTTGTTTTGTCTTGTCTCTCATTTACATATTTTGAATTGGTTGTGTCTTTAACACAATCTTTGAAATCTGACACTAACATTTTAACTTTGTTTTGCATATTTATCTTAACTGTGTTGATTTACTTTTCAAGATCTATTAACCATGAAAGGCAAAACTCTAATATCTATTTCACTTGTTATCTGTTCTATTGACTAGCATAATATCCATAAAATATGCCTAAGATAAGTGCCTATGTACAGGGTACGATGGATAAATTGGCAAAAACAACATGCATGTGAGAAATTAAACATATAAAATGGTGACAATTTACTCATCGCACCCTGTATGTATGCACTCAGTCTAGGATCAAAGTATCACTCCATGGTGGCATCTGTATACCTTTTGAAAAACATTGTAGAGGTATATACATTGGGGTTATCTTTCAGTTATGATTAAAATATTAAAATGGATATTAAACTTAAATATTTGTGGAATATTTGAAGCTTCTTTTACTTTAATAATTTATATCAAACTCAGAGCAGAAGCAATATTAACACTAATTTCTAATTTTTCAAAAGCCCAAAAACTGCTACTGTATTTATGTTTTTATTATTTTAAAACTTTAATGCTGGATGTTTGATAAAAATGGAAGGTAAAATCATAAATTGATTCATTTTTAACATCAAAGAAGTTTCCTTAACCAGCTTCTAATTATTCTTTAATTTGTGAATTATTTTAAAAATCTTTTTCAGGTGTTCCAAGTATTAGAAAAACACAAATCCAATGTTGTGAAGGTATTTTTTTCACTTCTCACTTTTTTTGCTCCTTCATTAATAAATTAACTTTAAATGCCCCTCCCTCTTTATGAGGTTATGTATTTTTTTCCCTGATATGAATTGAGTCATTTACTTTGTTAAAACTTTGGTTTGTGGCTAATTCTCCCAGTATTCATATTACACAAAAACTGTAAGAACATTACTTGTAAAAACAAACTCTTTTTCATTGTGAGACCAGATAAATATTCTTTCAAGAAAAGTTTTCAAACAATTAAATTCATAGTTAAGGGTAAACGACTCTTATTTTTGCATTGTAAATTTTGTACCAAAAACACTGTTTTAAAGGAACATTATAAAGCGTGTTAATTTCCTCAATTAACAATATTGATCTTTGAAATTCAGCATAACTCAGCTAAATATTCTGAGCAGTTTACACATGACTTTTTTTTTTACCCAATCAGCATAAGGAATTTTCTGTCTGAATTTCTGGGATGAAAAGTTATTATTCACACATAGACTATTGTCTCTATCTTGTTGTCACAGTGTTTCAAACAAAAATTAAATAAATGAGGTAAAAATGACTTGAATTTTTCTTTCTTTTTAATTGTGTGCATCCTTTGTTCAGAAATCCCAAAAGATTGCAGGTATTATGGGTACCCTACTTCTGTAATTTATCCCAAGAATCTTCTTCTCATAATAGGAAGAAGCCGGCTCAATCCACCCAGGGTGAATGCCGCATCAGTACAGTACAGTATTATGGAAGGGTTTTATAAGGAATACTGACATTTTTCTGTAACCAATAACATGGATTGTTGTTCTGAATTTTGGGAGCTTTGTCAAACATCAAAACCTTTGCAGAGAAAATCACTCTTAAAACTTTTTATATTAAAGCTTTTTCTATCAGGAATGCAAATAACTTCTGGCCATCCTGAAACAGAATTTACCAAAACATCCATCAGTTCAACCCACCTCAACATGTGCATGGTCTTATATGCACACATGTCCAAGCACACATCAAGCAACTACTGCGTACATCTTCCAGGATGGAAGACATGACTACAAGTCAACTGTTGGACAGAACTCAGGCTATAATGAAGGATCAGACTGTGACTAAAGAAATAACTGCAGCTCACATCTCACCAGTCGAAGCGGCAGCTGATAAATTTTAACAGATGGAAGTTTATCAGCTACCACTGTAGAAGGGTATATGCAATGCTATTGATGCTCTGCATGGAATCACCTTTCTAAAGATTACCCAGTTCAACGAGAAGAGGCACAAGCCCGTCAGCCATGAAGGATGCGCAACAATGCATTGCTTCCGGTGTCAGTGTTAGTCTCTTCCCCAGCAAGTTGAGAATGAGGTGCTACCTGTCTTAGGCATTGATGTGAATGGAATCAAGAGAGTGGCACTTGTGGACATGGGCTGCTCAAAGTCACTCATAAATAAGTCAGCCTGTCAATCCCGGTGGGAAATGGAGGTGGATATACTTATCATAAACAATAACACCCTCAAATGCAGTGAAGTTGGAAACATCAAGTTTGATATGGGCAATACCCCCCCCCAACATCGAGGTCTTGGTAGTGGTTGGAGAGCTATTAGGTTTTGAAATGTTGCTTGGGATTTGACTATTAAAAAGCTGGGCGAACTCCAAATAACGGAATGTGGCAATGTACAGCTTCCCAAGCATTGGATGGCTTGTAAAGCTGCCATTAAAATTGAAGAACCTGGTTTCTGTGCTGAATTCAACCCAAACAAGAAGATATGGATCACATCATGGAAGTGGTCAGGTGATCAAACGAGGGAGAATTTGCGAAACAAGATGCACAAGTACCCAATACCAAAAGGTGTCAAGGCAGAATGTGACCATGAGCTGCAGACCTGTCTTGATAATGGTTGGTTGCAGCCTTATCCTGAAAAAAACTTGGTCTTCCAAGAGGCCTAATTCCATTGATGGTGGTGGTGAATAAAAATAAAAGTAAAGTACAACCAAAAAGGACCTGATGTCACTATCCTTGACCTACAGCAGGCCTACCTACAAGTGCATATCCACAAGTCACTTTGGCCCTTTCAAACCATGATCTTCAAGGGGCGAATGGGCAAGTTGAATGTTGCATCAGCTATAATGAAAGCCATTGTGGACGCTAAAAAATGAGTCAGTCTGACGGGCAACCTCATTATGTATTGATATTTACGTTGACGAGAGCAGTCTTCACCAGACTATGTGAAAGAGCACTTGGCTGCTTTTGATCTGACCTGCAAGGATCCAGAGTGGTTACAGGATGGCACTCATGTTCTGGGTTTGCATGTTGAGGAGAACAACTAGCTTAATTGGAGGCATGAAAATGACATTCTATCAGCTCCGGAGGTCATGATACTATGCAATGTCTTGTTGTGTGGAAAGCTGTTGGGTCACTTTCCTGTGTATGGTTGACTCCACATTGCTGCATCATTTGTTAAATTCAGAACAGTGTCGATCACATCTCGCTGGGATGACGAAGTGACAGATGCCCTACTTAAGAACATGATTGAGGACATAGTAGCAAGAATGTGCCAGAATGACCCTGCACACAGCAAGTGGTGCACAAACACACACTTTTGATGTGTGGGTTGATGCAAATTCTCTCATCACATAAGTTTTGATCGAGGTTGATGGAAGCATTGTAGAGGATGCATGTTGACTGCGGCCTGTGAATGATGCACAACATATCAATTTAGCAGAATTAGATTCTATCTTGAAGTGTGTTAGCACTACAGTGGGGTGTAACAGAGCTGCATCTCTTCACAGATTCTGCATGTGTGCACTGGTAGGTATCGGACTTGCTCACTGGAAAAGCCAGAATACGAATTAAGGTGGCAAGTGAGATGCTGATCTGGAGGCATTTTGAGTACTCTTGAAAAGCTGGTCCAAGAGTACAAATCATTGATCATAACTTTTGTGACGTGTTCCTCTCCACACATACATATATTACACACATATCCATAAATATATACATAGAAATTTGTTTTCCCAAACTTCTGTAGACTCTTTACCAAATTAATTTAACCCTTTCTGAGAGTCTTTTTCTCTTAATTGTCTCTTAATTTATATTCAAATTTGATGATGTTTTATTCCTCATTTTGGGCATGCAAAGTTATGTTAGCTCTTTCTTTCTCTTGCCAGCTGTCAGTCAAAACCTTCCCTTTTCCTCTAATGGGATCAGCAGTAAACTCCTTCATTCAATTATCAAAACAAAGCCATCAACAATCAACAGTAGCCTGTGAAAAAAGTATCGGTTTATCTGGCGTTAGAATTATTTGAATTTTAGTCCTCCCTGCATGGTCTGATGCTATACATTTTACAGTTCTTTTGATATATTTTTAAATTTTGATACCCACAATTCCTTATCAATAGTATTTTTGTCAAAAAACATTGTGTTGACGAAAATGTTGGCAATCTGACTGTAGGCTAACAACGGTAATCGCTAGTGGCATTGCCACCTTGTGCGTAGGGCATATATATTTGTGTATCTCCCCAAGTGGCTTTTGGTTCATGCTTGTATAGGCCAGAGATTTAATATTTTTTTGTCATGTTCCTTGGCACCAAATCTGGTTTTGTGTGTGTATTTTTAAATTTGATGAAATTTTTGTTGCAGACAGAATCTGAAAATGTATGTTATTCATTTTTGTTTATTTCCAAAGTCCCAGCATATTTGATGCTTGAGATTCAATTCCAGATAGTTATAAAGACATCAAAAATATGGAATTCAGTATATCAATTTTTGGATTGACTGATTTGTTTGAACAAATTTCTTTCAACAATAATTTTATCGAGTCAAAATATTGGACAAAGTTATCTGATTGAAGTTTGCAATCCATAGTTTATGTCTGATGAAATTTTCAAAAACAAATTGCATTAACATACTCTATTGGCTAAAATTTTGGGCCATCCTATGGATTTAATGAGCTATAAGTTTCATATCTTTTTTGGTTGAATAAACACCTACTAATCTAGGTTGCTGAAACTATTTAAATCTTTAGTGAATACCATCCAATTTTTTTATAGATGTGCTTACTTAAAATTTAAAATTTGTCAGCTCTAAGATTACCATTAGCCAGCAGAGTAGATTTGACAAAGAGATAAAATTTTAAGGAAACTTTATACAGTAATAGGTTAATTTTATTATTGAATATATGATAAAACCCTGTAGCAAGAGAAAGTTACTCAACCTTGAAGTGAGCTAGTAAATTAGTTTTGAAAAAGACAAGCAACCTTCAATTTTTAGACAAGTTTCTGAAATACAGAGGTTTATTCTAAACCTTTTGCCCTTGTTATAAATGTTCTTGGTAATAGCCATTGAATTGAAAAATTATTTTAATTGAAATAAACTGCAATATTTTTTCTCTCACTTATTTCTTGTTAGTGCTTTTTCTTCATAAAATGTTCATTCCAATAAAAAAAATACCCTCCATGAATTTAATTATTATTATTATAATTATTAATAGGATATTTTTTACCATAATGATCGATAATAATTGTTTATAATACTTAAATCTGTGGAAGAGTAGTTTTAGCTGTTTTTAAAAATTAATAATAATTTCTAATACTTCATTGGATAAAATGAAATGAAAATGATCTTTATTTGACAAACTGACTTTTACCTGCTTTCCACAAGCAGATGGGCATAAAAAGAATGACCGTCTTTTGTTGTTGTTAATAGGGTGTATGAAATGTATTGTTGAAGCAAAGTTAGATTCATGTTTTCTCCCATTTATTTTTGTTCATAAAATTTTCATGGCTCCAATAGTCTTGATTTTTATTTTTTAAGACTCCTATTATTTTGTTTTGCATCTTTAGAGCAATCAATATATATATACACACACACACACACACCTCTCCATAGCTTTAATATTGAAGTCACCATGCTTCAAGCTTTAGACAATTCTGTGTAGTAGTTTTAATGATGTAAGGTATACCATCATGAACATCCTTTATAATTTATTTTATAGATTCTTCTAGTGTAATTTTATAGATATTTCTTATGTTAATTTATGTTTATTCTCCTTATATGGTCTTTTCACATTGGAACAATTAGTATAAATATTTCTTTTTATTTGAAAAATGTATCGGGTAAAACATCTGTTACAATCCAATGTATAAACTTACTATCAATATCAAATATTATCTTTCTGCTTCAGTAGAAATTGTAATCTTAAAAGTGTAACATGAATTTCCATTGATAAACACATCAAAATCAAATCCCGTGTTGGGTAAGTTAACTCAAGATATGTTGTTATTGGTAGTTCCTTGCAAAGGCTAAAAGATCTCATCTAACTTCAACAGGAGTTTTGTACCTTGCAATAGATGATAAACTGTTTATGGTCCATACAACTGCTAAATCTTTCTTCTCAATATTAAAATATTTCCTTTTTGTATTGATTACGTTCCTTAAATATATAAGCATTCATGTTTCTCTCATCAAACCAAGAGATGTATTAATGATAGTTGCCATCTATCTGAATTTGCTGATATACATTTTTTAATATTATGGCTTGTAGCTGGACAAATTTTCTGATTAATACCTACCTTATAACTTATGTCAGAATTATCATGAGTACACACCTATTTAGACCAGCATGTTCATTTTGGTTGTTATACTTGCATTTCAGCTGTTGTACCATGTTTTTTTAGGTGTTTGTTATACTTAGTAACTCTCTGTGAATTTTGAAGCAAATTCTTTATTCAAACCAAGGTGGGTAGCCTCATTCTACTTCTCATGCTTAACGGAGACAACTCATAATTTAATTTTCTATTTTGTTTATCTCTGCCACTGAGCAAAAGTATATGACTTTTCAGCACTGCCCAACTCAGGGATTGAACTCATAACTGCCAGATATATTTTAACCAACATTTTAATCCAATAAGCCATTGACAATCAAATCTTGTAATTTTTGTAGCCTTAAACCTGATGTCTGTACAAATTTGTGGATTGTTTCAGTGTGTTTTCTTTATAAATCAGAGCAGTCACATATTGTATTCATCTCTATACAAGGTTTATGGAAGAGATTATCAAAGCTGAAAATGTGTCTAGATTCTGTTGTCTTATTCAGGTTTACATAAAGAAAGTATTAGTATCTGCTCCTACCTATGTATATGTGTGTGTGTGTGGTTGGAAGATTGCATTGAAGGATAGAACTGACATTGACCATGTATTCTTGATTCCTATGTTCACACTGTCTATATCTATAAATGCTCTATATCCACCCTTCCCCTATATCATAGGAAATTTTAAACACACACAGTGTTGCACACTGTATGTTCCTCAAAAAACAACTCTTGTTACTTATTCAAATACCTTCACAGGATTGTCCTATTTATTGCTAGTATAAATAATTGCTTTTTAAAAATAGAAGCAATTATTATTTTTCACAGTAACAACGTTATTTTTGTCTGAATGAATAGTGGGGTCAGGGTAAATGTATGTTTGAAAGAAAAAAGATTTAATCAAAAGCAAATAGACATCTTTCTTTTCTAACTAAAGCCTTTATTTAATAATGTAAACAGTTCAAGAATATGCAAATTTAAATTTGGTACACATGCTGTTAACAAATTTAAAAGATTTTACTCTTTCATTCATTGAATTTATCAGATCTTTTAATGTCCCCTGTGAGAGATCGGCAGTGTTAGGGTCTTTTCTAGATGTTTTGGACAATTTCATTAGTTCACAATGTAAAATCATCTAGAGATGTTTAGTAAAATTTATGTAGAGAGACTACCTTGATGATGAGTCACATAAAATATTTTTGGGCCTCCCATTCTTGAGAATGGGAGGCCCAAAAATATTTTTACTACACAACTTAAAGCTATATATTCTATGAAAAATATATATATACTTTACTACACAACTTAAAGCTATATATATTCTATGAAGAATTACTGTCTTTGTTCATATAATATCTAATGAATATCAAGTTCCTCCTGTCAAATGGATATAAAATTTTCTGAATTGATATCCTTGATATAAGTTATCCATATTGTTAATCAATAGCCTCACTGACATGCCATAATGTTTGACAGTGGGCTGCAGGTAGTTCAAACAAACACTTTTGGTTAGGTAACCTCCAGACATTCACTTGTCAGCTGCTCAAAATTGAGCAGATGAGGAAGTGCCATTGTGATAAAGCTCAAAGGAATTGTCTACCATATCATTTGTTCTTTAATTTCTCTGATAAACATTAACTGGTTTAAGAAATGGCTTTCTCCTAGTTGCTCTGCCATAATGATACATATTATCAAGATAATATATTTCTATTCATAGTTTGAGCTGAGTACTATGCCATATCTCTTGCCTTACAGAAGGAATTTATTTTACAAATTTCTCATCTCATTTCTCATAGACATCTTTCTGATGGCCCAGTTTGATTTGAATGGGACACATTGATTTCCTTTAATTAATGAATTTTACAATTATGCAGTACATTGATGTAAATTGAATTTTTAATCTCAATCCTATTTTCAAACTAGCTAATAATCCATCACCTTTTGAAATCTGAAAATTGTCATAATCTTTGTGTTTGAGGTACTGTGATTTTTTTTTCATTTTGATAACTGAGAAATTTGCAGTTTGTATTCATTTGGTAAATAAACCTTTATTAAATAGTAAATCTAAATAAAACAATTTTTATTAATATTTTGTGTTGGTATTATATATTACATATTTATAATATTGCTACTTTTTTTCTAAGTTATTGTTTTATCTAATCTATTATGATAGTTATAATTCTTGAATTTGTAAAATCCTCTTTCAGGTAAAGTGGGCACGTGAGAATTACCACCACGATGCTGCTAATCCCTACACTCTTCAGCTTGCCTCAGCTGATGCATCTGGCACCATCATATTATGGGATGTTGTGCAAGGAGAAGTCAAAGCAGAATTTTCAGATGGCAATAAAACTATTCAAGGTCATGACTTTTTTTGTTCTATAGAATATAAATGGAAAAGCAATTCTTCAGTTCAAACCATGGCTTCTTACATGACATTGGGCACAAACATTCCAGGGAAAATGGATGCTGTTTTTCATTCTTGGCAAAGAATTTGGTTAAGATGTTTTTCTTATTTAATGTATTGTAGACAATAGAATACCTAGCTTGGAAAAAATTTTTTTATGCAATTTGTAACATTATGCTTCCACTGATTTTGCCTGATGTCTTCAGCTTGTTGAACAACCAGAATATTTTGAGAACACTTTCAGTTTAAAAAACATACTTTACCTATTGACAGAATCTGCATAGTAATTGGCCATGGTTAACTATAATTGGTAGAAATACCTAATAAACAGAACTGACAAAGTTTCCAATAAACAATAACAAAAGTAAGAAAAAGAACCAGGTAAAATAATACTAAAAAAAAAAACAATATATGCAAGAGAAAAGTATGCAAAGCAACAATAAAAAGGAAAAAAGTTCAGAAAGTAAGAATGGTATTAACAGACAAAAGGGATATAGACAAATGATTGTAGCATTCTGATTTCAAGATGAGAAAGAACAAAAATATAGCAGATGAGACCATGATGTGGCTTATCTTATAGGTTACATAGAAATTCCAGCATGCATCTGTATGATTTGTCTATAAATTTGGGGAGGGGGATGTTTTTGCAGTCATTCCTATAGATTGAAACTAATAGAATCTGTCTTCATTTGGAGCATATCTAGTGAATTACTCATTTTGTAAAGTTATCCATTCTTTTATGCAATTATTCATCAAAAAACTACATCTTTCCTCTGTACTAGAGACACTAGTATCAGCTATGACATCAATTTAATCTGAAAACAAAAATAACAATTAATAAAAGATTAAATTTTTGTCCCAGGGATTTTAAATATTTCTCTTTCAAATGAGAAAAATGACATTATTGATCTGTTGTTGTATTTGTTTGTCTTAACATTTTTAGGAACATTAAATATCTTCATTTCACTAAATGAAGAACTTAAGAGGGAAAATTGAATTTTGAAATTGTCCAAAGAAAGCTTATTTAATAAAATATTTTCCAAATATGGTAATCATGCCTTCTATGTGAATTAGAATGATATTAAATGGTTTTCTTCTAATGTGACTTGCTTTTTATAAGAATGTAAAATATATTTTTGGGAAGCTTTGGTGACTTTATCAGGATTTTGCATTTTTAAGTTAAAAAATACATGATTAGAATAGGAATCCAGATATCATAATCATTCTTTGATTAGAATTATTCTATTCTTACAGATATGGAATGGCTGTCATGTCAGGACACAGCCCACAGTTTCCTTGTGGCTCTTCATCCTCCTTATTCTTTAGTACTTTGGAATGCTGAAACTGGTACTAAACTGTGGAAGAAATCTTACACTGAACCACTTGTGTCATTTGCATTTGATCCATTTGAAACCAGAAATATTGCATGTGAGTCTCTTTTTAAATAATATATAAAGTCAGTGAACAATTGCAGATGTAAACATAGGAAACCTCTGATTACTATATCCTCAAAAATATTGTTTTAATTAGAATTTTTAAAAAAATGGAAATATTGTAATTAATAGTAAACTTCAAATTAAAAAAAAAAATGAAAAATTGTTTTAAGATGATTTTTAAAAAGGTATTTTAAGATATAAAATATTGTTTTATTTCATCTCCAGTTTAAGTTTCAAAGAAAATTTAATATGATTTAATTCCTTCAAGAGCTGATCTTTGTTGAAATGTAAATATTTTTAGTGTCTAAATAGTGATTTTATGAAAATAAAAAGGGTTTGATTAACTTAAATATTTCCATAAATCTTTCTTCTAAAAAATCCTTTTCATAAAAGAATATAGCGAAGAAAATGACGGCTTACCTCATCAAACCAAGCGACAGTGTTGCATGTATTCTATGACAGAAAATGTGGCAAAAAAAAAATTACTTACCAAACAAAAGGGCACGTATTTCGCATGACATGTTGAAAATGGAATATTTGAATTAAAAAACAAGTCCGTTGCAGGAGTCGCTATAAATGCAAATTACTGAACATGCTCTCCCAGCTGTCGACGAATGGAAAGAAAAAAAAAGTTGGCAATTTTGGCTGCCAAGGGAGTTATTTTTCTGACTGGTTGTGTGCATTGTGATTTGTGAAATAGTACTTGCGAATCGAGTTTTCGGCATTTTCTTCCCTTCCCCGATGTTCGAGTCTGAACTTAGTGATTTATTCTCGGTGACGTGGAAATAATTTGCGACAAACATTTCCTTTGCAATCCCAGATCGCTTACAAAGAATAAATACTAAAAATCAAAAACAGTTATCAGTAGATTTTAAAAATCTTGGTGTGGTTTGTCTGTTGGCAAAAGGGTTCCCACATAGAGGAGAGATTCCTACTGTAAAAAAAAGGGTTCCCACGTAGACCAGAGATTCCTACTGTAAAAGAAAGGGTTCCCACGTGGACCAGAGATTCCTACTGTAAAAGAAAGGGTTCCCACGTGGACCAGAGATTCCTACTGTAAAAGAAAGGGTTCCCACGTAGACCAGAGATTCCTACTGTAAAAAATGTGAAAGAAAACAAAAGAATAGAAAATTGATTTTATTTTAAAGTAAATTATTTTGAACTAGCTTTTAATTACCCCTGCTACAATTATCATGAGGCTAATACAATGTTACTTGGAGAAAAGTGGGCATTGCTCAGTGACTTTAAGAATGCAGCCACTGGACAAGAGCAATGGTTAGCAAGCTGGTCTCAAACCATTTGCTAGTCGAGAAAGTTTTGATCTTCATTGAGCACTCCAGTAGGGAATGCACCAAATATTTAAGATCATGTCTTTAACAAGACATAAATGAAAGATAACTTAAAACAATGTGACATGGTTTGTACCAAATTTTTGACATTTTCTATATCAAGAACATTAACATGGCAGCTTCTAATCTAATAAAGAGACATACCATGTTCATTATGCTATCTGTCAACCATAGTGCCTTGGAGACAGCCAGTGTCTTGAAAATGTCAAAGTAAACAAGAGGACCAATACCACTGCCTACAATGAGGTGTTGTACATGGTGGTCAAGCCTTGAACCAAGGGAGTGACCATATGTTTTATAGCAGTTTTCTGCTCCCTCTCACATAATTTCATATTCTCCCAACATATAACTTAGCTCTTCTGATTTGAGTCTGTTGGACTTCAACATCTTGGATGTTGTTAAGGAAACCAACCTCCACAATACCAAGAACTTCTTTAAGGCCACCATCATTAACAAAGATCCTCTTCATGATTTGTGCACATACAGTTACTTTTCAAAGCTACATGTAGACTCTGAGCAGTTTTATTGAATAAAGTTTTTAAAATTCTTTTTCCAGAAAAAAACATTTTTTTAAAAATATACTGACTTTTTTCTATTGAATATCTTTTGTTTCTCTTTATGATTTGTTCTTGGTTACATGGCACACCTTAAATTATGGCCCTGTGTCATACCAAACTTATATTAGTAAATGATGCAGGCGTTTGTTATAGTGATGATTAACAGGTATGTTCCTATGTTTGATTAAAACCCTGCTAACATGGAAGTACCCAAGAATCATTTCAGGCACATAATGCTTTATGAGTTCAAGAAAGGAAACTCAGCAGCCAAAGTGGCTAGAAACATTTAAACTCAGTTTATGGAGAGGAATGTGTGAAGGAAAGAACTTGCAGAAGATGGTTTGCAAAATTCAGAGATGGATATTTCATCCTTGAAGATGAAGATTGAACCGGATGTCCAGTTGAGTTTGATGAAAAGCTTCTTGAAGCAGCCCTTGAAGAAAATCCCGCTTTATCAGTTGAGGAATTGGCAGTTCAAACCATACAACTGTTCGTCATCTTCAACAACTTGGAAAAGTTCCTAAACTTGGAAAATGGGTGCTTCATGAATTGTCTGAAAACAACCTCAAATCCCGAGTTGACATCTCTTCTCTCCATTCTCGCCAACTTTTATCACCTTTTTTAGATAGACTTGTGACTGGCGATGAAAAATGGATCTTTTATCAAAATGTTAAGCGTCGTAGACAGTGGTTTGGTAAAGGGGAAGGACCCCAACCACAACCAAGAAGGGAACTTCATGGGCAAAAGGTTCTTCTTTCAATCTGGTGGAATAATCCACTTTGAATTCTTACCACCTAATGCACAATTAATGCTCAAATATACTGTCAGCAATTAGAGCGTTTGAACCAAGCTTTGAGGAAAAAAAGACCTGCTCTAGTGAATTGAAAAGAGGTGATGTTTCATCAGGCCAATGCGCGACCCCACACAGCAAGAATCACGTTACAAAAGATCAAAGAACTTGGGAGAAAATTCCTCATCCACCTTATTCTCCCGATCTTGCTCCTTCAGACTACCATTTGTTTCGTAGCTTACAGAATCATTTGGAAGAAACAGCTTTTGCAACACAGGAAGAGGTTAAAACTGACATTTGTGAGTTCTTCGAATCAAAGCCAAAAGAATTTTACAATAATGGAATTTGTAAGCTTGTTAATAGATGGAAGGAAGTCGTAGATAATCAGGGAGAATACATTGCTGATTGAATCTGTAATTAAATGTAACATTTGGTCACTTGTTTTCTTTATTCAAAATTCGGACAGAACTTATGGGATGACCTGATACAACCCCATGCCAGATTAAGCTGTGCAAATGTCTCCATGCAGCCATACATGCATGCATAATATATAGAAAAGCACATAGTAATTATCAATATTTGTAACAATAATTGTTTTTTTTTTATTTTTAGTTCTTGGACAAGACTGCATCATATTTGTGGATGATTTCTCTGTGACCAAAGTTCCATCAAGTAATGGAAAGAAATTCTACATATCTAGTCCTTCAGCTCAAGGTAGGCAACATCCTTTAGTTTTATAAATCCAGTGACCTTAAATAAAATTGGGGTGTGGTAGCAAATAATTTGGTTGCTTTACTGAAAATATGGAACACACTGGTTTGGGATGATGACATGTCCTTCCTTCTGATGCCACTTCCATGTTATCACTCCTTTGTGATGGTGTGTGTTAGGGTAATTTGTTTCTAAGAAAAGGATTAGCAATTAGGTAAATGTTTATTGTTGGTGATAACAAGATAGCTTGTGATATATTGAGATATACCACATGGGTGATTTCATGAAGATTAAAAAATATCTTCTGTGGTTGCTACTGTGCCTCAGCAATTCTATGTAAGATATGATTGAAAGTAGATATTGTTTACCTCCTTGTGGTTTTTTTCTCAGATAAATTTTATATTGATTCTTTAAAACTGACTTCATTGTGATTGGCTTTTAACATAGCTTCAGTCATGCAGATGGCAGGCAGGAAAGTTTCTGTATGGTGGTTAAATGAGAGCAGTTTTGTTTTGGAGGCATTAAAATTTACAAGCCGTTTTCTTCCTCATTTAAGCACTGATTGGAGGTCCTTTTTGAGAGCAAGAGCCAGGTTAACTTTAGCTCTGCCAGATTTGCTATTTAGACAGAACTAAATGGTAGTGTCATCTGCATAAATGTTTACTTGGGAACTTGATGACATCAGGAAGATCACTGATGAAAATCAGAAACAGTGTAGGACCCAAGATAGAGCCTTGGGGGAAACCTGCATTCATATGAAACGATCTGGCAGCAAGCCTGTTCAAAACTGCCTTCATTTCATGATTTGATAGGAACAACTGGATTAAATTAATCAATTGTTCTGTAATACTGTAGTCCTGGAGCTTACCTAGAAGACCAATGTGCCAAACCCTGTCAAACAACTTTGAGATATCTAGAGCCACAGCTTAAGCTTTGCCCTCCCACAGAACTTTTTTGACTATGCGATGTTTAACTGACATTCTGGTATATTGGCGGGAGAGGAGGTAAGAGATAGTAGGGGGTCTGTCCCTAGAATCTTACTGGAGATGCTTCAGTTGCTTCTTTCCAATATATAATTTTGACACTTTATGGAAAGAGCAGGCTGACTTGATTTCAGTGGTGCTTTGTTACAATTACATTTTGAAAATTTTTACAAAATCATTGAATATTATATAAGACTGTAAAAATTCTCCTATAAAAATGAAGCCTCATGAATGTACAATTTCCCTTAAGTTCTATGGAGTAAATATCAGTAGCATTTCAAAAAGATGTTGAGATTGTATCCTAGAATGTAGAGGCTCTTCTTGGCTGGTAATATTTTGACAAAAATTACAGCTGAGCATCCGAGTTTAGATGTTTGATTATTTTCCATTTAAGGATGCCTTGTTATCCCCTGCTTAAATTCAGAATAATAATCCAAGTTTTTCTTCACTGAAAATGATCATTTTGATTTATGTATAAATTTCAAACTCATAAATTAACATATGTGAAACCAGTGATCCTTTAGTTTTAACTCTAAAAGTATAAGAAAAATTGACTTTCTTTCTAAATAGTTATGTGTTAAAAATATTTCTACATGGTTTTAATAAGAATGTCCCTGCAAATTAAAGTAATAAAACTTTTTTTTTTTTTTTTTTTTTTTGTTTTTTCAGGCAGTGGACGATCTTCCAACAGTGACTCCCTTGACAAAAAATCTTCTCGAAATTTGGCAAAGAGAATGTCAAAAGTCTTGGTTGGTGAAAGCAAAGTGAAGTAAGTTGTCAGGTTTCATTTTTCTCTTTCTTTAATTTTGTTAAAACTCTTTAAAATCATTCTGCATTCTACTAACAACAAAAGCAAAAAACAAATGAGTTCAATATTTTAAATATCATTTTTGATAAGTTTTTTTTTTTTTTTTTTTTAAAACTTTTTTATCTTTTTTTTTTTTTTCGTACTTATAAAAAACTGATGTCTTATCAAAAATTTGCAGTATCTTCTCATGAAACTGGAAATATTTTGCTTTCTGTGTAACCAAATGTATTAAATTAACTATGGACAGTTTCATCTTACTTTGTAGTAAAGTATATTTTTATGTTACTTTAAACAAAATTCTTCTAAGACTGTCATATTTTTTAAAGCAAGTTTATTTCTCTCTAATTATATAACTTGTACAGAGACAGGCAAACATTTATCAAATTTTATTAACATTAATAAAGTTTTCATCGTATTCAATAATCTTTTGTTATTGTTTCAGCTGGTGAATGCACCAGTATGTCACATTGAAAACCCTTTATTTCATCCATAAAATCGTATTATTCTCACATTTTGCTTTCTCTCACATCTTGTATGAATTTTAACTGGAAATTTTTTAATTTGTAACTATCAGTTTTAATTTCTACCTCTTTATGAGTCCACTGTACCTTTATAGCCGAGTTAGTGTACTCATGCAATGTCATGAGCAGAGATTGAACTCCTAACTTTCAAGAATTTATGCAGCCTGACTATATTATTGTTTATAAAAAAAAAAAAAAACAACTCTTCACTGGACAAGGCTGGTATTTGGAAATGATAAACATGCAAATTTATTTCACTCCTGGTTAATCATAAGCGTCACAAGCTGAGTAGACTGCTCTAATTTTTTTTTTTTTTTGTTTGTTTTTTTTTTGTTTTTTTTTTTTGCTTTGCAGCAGCAGTAATTTTCCTTTGTATACCTGAGTGTTAGTTGAGTAAACCTAATGGCTTTTCCAATCTTCTCTTCATCTTTTATAAATGTCAAGAAACTTTCAGTGTCCAGTTATATAATAGTCAGTTCTGAAAAAAAATATGGAAAATAGGAAGAATTTTTGATGTTATTTTCATTCATTTTATAAACATGAATGAAAAATAACGTGCATTAAAACACATTCTTATTGCAGGAATGGCAACAGAAATTTTGACAAACATTTATTTGATCATATTTTGTTTGTTGGAGCTTCATGATTTCAATCCAGTAGAATATTTTGTATCTTAACTCTGATATTAATCTGTTAACAGCATTTTGGATGTGTTTTTAAATTTTTTTTTTTTTTTTTTTCATGAAGCAGTGTCAACTGTTATTATTCATTTTTAACAAGTATTTACCTTCATCTTAGTTTTTACTCTATTAATACAACAATTGTGCAAAGTCACTTCATTCTCAGAGCTGAAGTGAACAAGATACAGCATATAATGTGGGGTGCTATAAGTTACAACACTTACTCATTGTTTTTACAATACCATATCATTTATATTCAGAATATTGTTTAATCCTTTCTGTTACCATTCCTGCAACAAGAATGCAATGTGTGTTCTCGCCCACTATAGTCAACATACTCTGCAACATGTGTGACCACTGATTGGCAGATATGAATGGGATGATTCCTTACTCTTTCAGTTAGCCCACCTACAACTCTTGCTATATTGTGTCAACTGGTGCAATTAGTGTAGAATGATGTATAGCAGGATAGTATTCACCATCTATACAGTTGTATGAATGCAACAGTATATGTCTATTTTAATGCCCAAAGAGGAGACACTACGTATTAATATGTGCTTTGAGTACTGTTAATACAGTCCTTATTTTAGAATCTTTATCAATCTGTAAATGCCATCATTTACTGTAATCCAGCTAGATTACCTCACTGTACAGTTTGAATAAATTGAAATACATATTTATATTGTTTCAATTTCATTTTCCATTAGTATAATAAAACATCATCTTAATCAATCCAGCATACAAAATCATAATTCCACCAATAGTAAGTAGGTATTTATTTTTAGACAACATAAATTGCAAAAAAGATTAAAGCTGTAATCTTAAAAACCAAAAAGAAAAATTTCTTTCAGCTTCATGTACAAAAAATATTCAATAATTAATATAAACATACAGGCTCAATCTCCATAAAACTGCAACTTTACATTTGTTGTAAGCAACCTACAATGTCATCCATGCTATTAATTTATGACTTAAATTTCCAATATTTTGTATATTAGAGGATGCTGAAAAGTTCTCTGCCTGACCAAGGGAGGAATTCCTGAAAAATTTGATTTTTGGTTAGATTTTGAATTAGGTCTAAAACTTCATGAGTGTGTATGTCTCACTAAAACACAAATACTTTTTGTGGGGAAAATAGAAATGGCTTACCTCCCAAACGCCCTTGCGTCTGTCTGGCCTGTGGGTTGAGAAAAGAAAGAAAGGGTCCAAGATGGCGTCCGTGACATTTTAATATTCACGGTCTTGTGCAGTCTCGCAAGGTCACGTTACATGCATGCTAATGAGGTGTGTCTTGGCTCCATAAAAGCAGGTCGCTTGGAGAAATTGGCAGAAGCCATTACACCCATGTTCGGTATACATTGCTTTGCGTTGCGTCGTGTCGGACATTTTCCTACGGAAAAAGCGGGGGCTTGCTAGCCTCTTGTAGAGTGAGTGGCATCCGCGATGGGCCTGCAGTAGCCGTACAAGCCCTGGTCAAGGACGGAGAGCTGCTCGGCTATGATTTGCTCCTGGGAACGTCATCAAAAAATTGGGTGGCGTCCATGTTGATGAAGAGGGTCGGGCGCATTTCACTGAAACAGGTCTTGCTCTAGGTGCAGCAATGGAGCTGGAACGGCCTGAATTCGTGCAGAGTTCAACCAGCGCACAAAGTCCTGGAGGGTATCCTGGAAATTGTCGGACGATCAACCGCCAGAGAAGCTGTACAACAGTGTGCCAGAGTATAAAATCCCCCCGCAAACTCGTGCGGAATATAACAAAGAGTTGCGAGCCTGGATTGATAACGGATGGTTGGTTCCTTATCCAGAGAAGGAATTGGGGCCCCCGAAGGGCCTGATCCCGCTAATGGCGGTTATCCAGCACAACAAACAAAAGGTGAGGCCGGTGCTTGACTATCAGGAACTGAATGAGCACGTGGACCCTTTTACAGCCCGCGCGGACGTGTGTACCGAGAAGCTAAGGGAATGGCGACAGACGGGATCAAATGTATCTGTGCTGGATCTTCGCAAGGCATACCTTCAAGTGCGTGTGCACCAATCACTGTGGCCCTATCAAACTGTGCTTATGAAGGGATGCGGTGAAAAGTGATCGCCGCCTCCCTGCCAACTCTGTGATCATGAGATCAGTGGGGAGTGTGGGGAAAATAGAAATGGCTTACCTCCCAAATGCCCTCGCGTCTGTCTGGCCTGTGGGTTGAGAAAAGAAAGAAAGGGTCCAAGATGGCGTCCGTGACTTTTTAATATTCACGGTATCATGCAGTCTCACAAGGTCGCGTTACACTCATGCTAATGAGGTGTGTCTTGGCTCCATAAAAGCAGGTCGCTTGGAGAAATTGGCAGAAGCCATTACACCCGTGTTCGGTATACATTGCTTTGTGTTGCGTCGTGTCAGACATTTTCCTACGGAAAGAGTTGCGTCCCTTATACTCCATATTGAATTTGACTCCTTTGCTACACTTTTTGAATTAATACATGTGGTAGGTAACACAACAACTCAACTGATGATAGCAGGTAGAAACAAAAAATACGGTGTCGCACGTCCAACCTTCTCACGAGCCGAAAGCTCTCTGATTCGAAACAGCAAAACGAGCCTGCTTTATAAAGCCGCGGACCGACCACGATTTGCATGTGAATGACGAAGCGATGAATGGGTCTATTCCAAAGGCCGTATACAGGGCGTCCTTGATCTCTTCTAGGTCAGCATCGTCCCTGAGTTGTTGATATACTGCGTAGGCTCCTCCCGTGAGTCTCAGTTGGATGACTAGTGCAGGTCCCTTTATTTTGGACACCCTGCAAACACGTTCGGCCTTTTCAAACCATTCGATGATAGTCGGGCCTTTGGGGGAGCCGTCGAATTCTGGGATCAATTTTAGATCGAACTTGTCCATTGCCGAAATAGCTTGTGGTAGGTAACGCAACAACTCAACTGATGATAGCAGGTAGAAACAAAGAAAAACCGGTGTCACACGTCCAACCTTCTCACGAGCCAAAAGCTCTCTGATTCGAAACAGCAAAACGAGCCTGCTTTATACAGCCGCGGACCGACCACGATTTGCATGCGAATGACGAGACAACAAGATTTTGCATAACTAACCGAGACCGCCCGGCATAAAATATGGGCGCTGCCATTTTGGTTTCTTTTGCCGTTGGAAGAACCAGAGTTTGCATACTGCGCAGATTCGAACGCGTTTCCGAGGTAAGCCATTTTCACAATTTTCCCCACAATACATCATCAATTCTTTTTTCTTCACAATTCTTCATAGACTAACAATGGAATAAACTACTTCATCTTACTTTTTTATAGATTAATGACTATTATATTAGTGGTAGGACTCCCCCCTCAAGAACATACAACACAAATATCTTTAGTATCTATTCTAGAGTTCTCACCTTAGAATTTTTGGTTAATGAAAGATTGAAGTGGGTGATAAGTTTTCTTCTTTCAATCAAATTGTATGACAGCTTGAAAATGGGATCTGAGTCTTATATTTCTACTGACATTGGCACCAATCTGCTACTACCCAGTTTCTTACTGTCAACCACTTTGAATGGGCATATGCTAATTCCTGTCTGAACCTTTGAATCTGCCTGGATGAATAAAGTCTTTGATATGCATTTTCCATGACCTAATATTACTTTTTTTTTTTTTTTTTATTGGTCTGTATCTAATATTGACATTTATCTTATGAGATTGAACTACACTGTCATATATAAATTACATCCATCATAGTTTGGTTACATATTTGCTTACTATCTAACAACTGCACTGACAAATAATTATTGTTGTTTGCCATTCATCAAGAAACATTCATATTTTTTTTATATTAATCATTTTTAAATTGAAGCAATTGTTTTTCCTCCCCCACTTAATCATCAAATCAACCAGATTTCCTAATATTTACTTTTATTTACTTTCCTATATTAATTATTGTTTTAATTACTTGCTATAATTACTGCATCTCTATATTTGTACAATTGCCAATTTTTGTTTTCAGGTCAAATCTCAATGAAGAAGAGAATCTGACATTGAATGAATGTTTACAATTGGCTTATCATAATTCATGTCGACATCACCTGATTCTTCTTTATCCACGAGAAGTCCTTATTCTCGATCTCAAAATCAACCAAACAGTTGGAATTATTCCCATGGAAAGAACTGGCTCCCCTTTTGTACAGGTATCTCAGCTCATTATTTGCATCTCTAATTGGACTAGATCAACTCTTTGCTAATTCTTAATTTTATTTCTAACAATGTCACTGCTTTTCAATTAGATGCTTGAACCAGGTTTAATCTCATTCAGGAAAAACACTTTTGAAACATTGTTCAGTCAGTTTTTGGTTTTTTGCTGTGACAGGAATTCAAAGTCTTTTTGCTTATATTAATTACCTTCAAAACTTAAACCTTTTTTTTCTTCCTTTATAATTTGAAGGTTATAAACCTTCTCAACACAGAAATATTTCAAAAGATGCTTATTTTACAAGTCATTACATTTTGAAATATATAAACAGTAGGAAAACTAAGTATAGAATACATGCCAGGAAAATCTGTTTATTGCATTATTCACCTACTTGTTTGATAATAATTTACCTCAAAATTACACCACAAATAGGTTTCATCTTTACAATATTAAATATGAACATAAATTTAAGCATATATTTAAAAAGATGAAACAAAAGATATTCAGTATCCATTCCTAAAAACATTTTTGAAAACTAAGAATACTAGAGATTACAATTTTGGAGAGTTTTTTTTTTTTTTTAAATTTTTCTGTTTAATTGTTGCATGAAGTTCTAAAATACAGCATACTCATTATTTAATGAATTGTTGTTTTGATCACTATATTTTAACTAGTACATTCATTAATCATTCTGTCATATCTGGTAAGCATATCTGAATTTAGTAGTAGTTTAGGACAAGGTTCAAAATTACATAGCAAAGTATCAAAATTTGCTATATGTAGCAATGCCAATACAATGTTAGTGAAAGAAACCATTGACAGCTAATTCTTATCTTCAAATTTTACTGTCACTGCTTTTATTTCTTCTGACTTGACCTACTTTTTGTTGAGTAATTCATAGTTTACTGTTGAACATTCTCAGATGAAGTATTTTTGTTATTCCAAAATTTTTTTCTTATATATTCATCTTTTTATTTTGTTTACAACTCTGAAATTCTTTGTTCTTAATCTCCAACCAGTGAACAAAGATGTTAATCAAATATGTCAATCTGGTAAACTAGTAGATTTTGACTATTTAAAAATCCAGCTTTATCCAATTATTTTTCTTTGCTAGGTCTTATCTTGTCGCCAGAGAGATGTACTAATGTGTCTACATGAGAATGGAAGTGTTACTGTTCGTGTTCGCCGCAAAACCAACATTATTAGTACACCAGCCTCAGAAGGAACTGGAGCTTTTGGTAAGTAACGATTAATAAAAATGGTCACTTAAATTTATTTTTAAAACTTTACTATTTTATCGAGACGGAACTTAATTAAACAATTTGCAGCAAAGGATTAAAGTAATTCATAAATACCGACTTGTTTAGTAATAAATATTTGGGTACCAAACAAGTGTTAGGGTTTTTAATGTTTATTCATATCCTCATCAGATCCATCATTGTTTACTGGAAATTTATACAATGTTTTTACTTTAAAATATCTAATTAGAGAGTAGAATTTTTGTTTATTTCTTATTTCAAATCACACATCTACAGCTGCTATATATCATTCACATATAATATGAAAAATTTTGTCTTCATATCAATCCTAAAATGAGTGAAGGTAGCTTGTTGCATTTATATAATTTTATTTATAAATTATAATTACTTGAAAACTAGTGGCTTGATTGTACTGAAAATTACTTCATTCAACTTAGAACTTTTTTGTGCTAACAAAAATTACACTACAATGTGCCACTTTTATGGTGACAAACATAGAAATTGGGTTATTATTATTATATAAATATAAAAAAAGAGCCATTTAATTAGTAAAGTATTTTTTTTTTCTTTTTAAACAAAGAAAAATACCTAAAAGTTTTGACCATTTTTGTATGGTAAATGAAAGCATTCCTTATAAATGTAAAATGATTACTAATTTTGCAGACGACGGTCCTCCAAACCCCACCCTGGATGTCTCTTATGATCTGCGTTGTCAGTCTGATCCATTAAGGATTACCCGTCACAGCAAGGTGTATGGGGTATCTATGTGCCCTGTGTCTGAACGATTGCTCTCTCTTGTTATGAGTGACAGCAGAGTTCTCTTCATTGAATTAAAAGCCACAGAATTTAAAGTAAGTTGCTGGAATAACATTATCTGTATTCTTGTTTTTATGTTCATCTATTGACCAAAGCATTCATCTATTTAATATTAACAAAAAATAGCCTACCTGAGAATAGTTTGGTTTGGTTTTATGGCATATCAGCCTCAATGCTAACAAGATTTTTAGGATAGTTTTGTATGAATAGAATATGTATTCTTTGTAAGAAATCATTGTAGATCAGGTTTCATTGACATATTTCTCTAGAGAGGGTTTTTGTTGATAAAGTGTGTTGCTGGTAATATTTTTTTCAAAAAATGTATTGCTAGTAATAAATTTTTCTTTTTCAAAATGTTTTGCTGGTATTTTTACTATAAAAAAAAAAAACTATTTTTACACTTTCATAGTGTTTTGACCCCAGTTTGAGGGTTAACTATTTGCCCATAACTGGGGCCCTAACAGGTGATACCACCCCTGGTCAGGGTGGACCTGGGAGCAACAGCAATTAGGAGGTGGTTCCACACTCCTCAAAACCTCCTAATCAGAGGCAAATTTATTGTCATAACCAGGATGTAAGACAATGATGTTTCAGTCCTCTTCAAACTACTCCCATTGTGACATCCCATACTTATCTTAGCAACCATCACACCCTTTTTTTTTGTTTTGTATTTTTCACAAAACATATCTGCAAAGATATGCAACATTTTGTAGCAAATGAGTCGACTTCAACAGTGTAAGGGACGCAACTCTTTCTGTCTGAAAATGTCTGACACGCTGCAACGCAAAACCGTGTACACCAAACACGGGTGTAATGCCGTTCTGCCAATTTCTCCAAGCAACCTGCTTTTATGGAGCCCAGACACACCTCATTAGCATGTGCGTAACGCGACTTTGCGTGACTGCACGAGACCGTGAATATTAAAAGTCACGGACGCCATCTTGGATCTTTTCTTTTCTTTCCTTTCTCAACCCACAGGCCAGACAGACGCGAGGGCGTTTGTGAGGTAAACCATTTCTATTTTCCCCATACTTTTTGTTGTCTTTTTAATATTCAATGTGGCTGATTATTTCTAACCAGACATTTTTTTTGTGTGTGTGTATATATATATATATATATATATAATTTTTTTTTTTTTTTTTTTTTTTTTTCATGCATAATTTATTGAATATGACAGACAAGGTGCTTTGATTTAGTTTTTTTATACAGTTAGCCATTTTCAAGGTTGAAATATATTAACCGTTAAAAAGAAATAGATTGTTGTATGTATGTATTTATGTAACATTTCATTTTCGAAACCTGATCAAGATATTGTGTCCATGCTCATAGTTGATATTGAGTGTTGTTTTTATTACTAATGCTTCCTTTATTTTTAGCCTTTTTTTTACTTGCAGACGCTGAAATTACATTTGTGTTATCAACAAGTATGTTACTAATAGGGTCCGGTAGGTCTCTGAGTATTTAAATGAGACCTAATTGAGCTATGGTCAGAAAGATGTAGTGTGAGTCTTCATGTCAAACATGTTGTAGTATGGCCTGTGTAATTATTTACAAATTTTGATTGATCATGAATACAATTCCTTAATGGACATTTAAATTTGTAAATAATATTTGTTCTATTTAATTTTGTTGTTTTAACTATAAGGTTTTAAATTTTTTTTGTAATAGTCTATTTTTTTTTTGCTATTGTTTGTGGATGTAAAAACACAGTCCCTCACATTATTAGTCAATTTTAAACTTTCCTAAATTTTAGAAAATTAATGATATTCACGAAAATAAAAAATAAATATTTGCATTATTAATGTGCTGAATATTTCATATAAATTATAGTAAGCCACATTATAGTGTTGTAATGTGGTAAGCATTTCATCAGTTTTAACAGATTTCCCAGGTTTCCTGTTATTTTTTTTAATTTTCTTTTAATCAATTCGTACCAGGCAAAGTAATAAAAACCACTAAGACGCAAGGTGAAAGAAATTGTGAGGGAAATAAGAGGACAGGATTCAAGGAAATGGAAGATGAAGATCGATGTTCCATTTAAATTTTTGAAGATTGTAGATGACAGGAAACAAGAAGCTGGAAGAGAGTTCCACAAGCAAGAAGTGTGAGTGAAGAAGCTATTAGAATAGAACTTACAGTTACCTCTAACAGTTTCAGCTGTAAAATGATGTGACCTCACTGTCAATCTAGTACTGCACTTAAATTTGTAAAGTCTAGGTACCAGAAAAGTCACCAGAACAATTACCAAGAAAATATTTATAGAAAAGGCATAGGGAAGCTACATTACAACAGTGGGAAAGTGATAATATTGCAGATTCTTTTTTGGATTTTATCAAGAAGCTCTAGATAGATAACCAGATGTGGCAGCAATATTTGATACATAGACAAATGATTATTGAAACTCAAAAAAAAAAAACCTTATGCTATAATTCAAAACTATAAGGACAGAATTTTCATGAAATTTACAAAGACAAATCTCCTGACAAATAATTGAAAACCGTGTCATTGTACATCTGTCTATATTTCTGAGAGGTATTGTAACTATTTACGCTATTTACATTGTTCAACTAGGTTGTCCTCATCTTTATTTGCACATTCACAACCTTTTGGCCATCATATACTCCAACCTCCTTCAGGTGTTATTTTTTGAATTTCAAACCAAATCAGAATAGCCAATCTGTATGTTGGTATTTCTGAAGCATGATAGCTGTCATTGCAAAGAACGGATGAAATGTCTGTTTTCATGTATTCTATTACACATTTTATTCATTTTTTTTTTTTTTTTTTTTTTTTTTTTTTGTAGATGTCTTTTAGTGATTGGTTTCATGTTTTGCTACTTGATTTATATCTTTTCAACAATTTTTTATTACTACAATGGCTAAAAATGTCATAGCATACCCCGAAAAAAAGTTCATGTTCTGTGTGCGATCTGCCGAAGAAAAATTACAAAAAGTATTTAGCAAAAATCTACTTCAATGACTAGAATCTATGCTAATGTTCTCCCCTCCCCTAAATGGCGTGACCAATCAGAAAGATCTCTCGATGAACCAAAGCCGTTGTTTTTTGCTTATAAAGGCAGATTTTCTGAGCTGGTGAGCCAAACATGCATTTTTGCTTGTGAGAAGTGAAGGTTGGACATGTGACCTCATTTTGTTGTTTCTACTTTGCTTGTTGGACTGTTACGATGGACTATTGTTTGAACTGCAATTTGGCTACAAGTGTCGCAGTCGAGAAACAAGAAATCTTTTGCAGTTGCTACTATAATTTGACAGTCTTTTCTTTACTTCAATAAGCTATTTTGGCATTTACTTTGTCTCTAGCAAGATGGTGGAAAGACCGTTCAACATAAAACTGATCCTCGAATTCAGTGGTGATGCAAGTAGACAGTCTGTGGTTGAATGGATCAAAAATGTGTACCTGGTTTGCGAATTATGAGAGATCACGAAGATTGAACGGATTCTTCCACTGCGCTTGAAAGGCAGCGCCCTTGCTGTGTATAGGCAGCTGAGCAAAAAACAGAAAAGTGACATTGAGCAAATAAAGCTCGCTCTACTAACCGCGTTTGGAACTGACCGGTTTGTGGTCTATGACCAATTCCAGGCGCAGCGTCTGCGACCTGGCGAGATAGTAGACGTATATTTGGTGGAATTAAAGAAGCTCGCCGTACCGATCGCACCGCTTCCTGAAGAATGGATGACCTGTGCCTTTGTGTCTGGATTGCCTAGTCATGTTAAGCAGATACTCCGTGCATCATCCAGAATGAAGGACATTACGCTAAATCAATTGTTGACCAGAGCCTGTGCTATCATGATCAACGAAAAAGAGGTTGATGAACCAGTGGCTGCAGTCATTCAGCCAATTGAACAGAGGATCTGACCCCAGCCATCCATTGCCATGGCGATATCACCTGCTATTGGTGCTCAGGGCCAAATCATTTTGCCAAAGACTGCCGCTATCAACAAGAAGAAATGCACAGCAGGTCAGCGCAAAAGGCACATCTCAATTTATGATGTTTCTAATGTCATAAAGTAGGTCACATTGCCTCTAAGTGTCCGGGACAGTGGAGCAGAAAAGATCGACGTACTAGCGGCCGATGAAAAGGCTCTCAGAAGCCAGGGAGTCGGAAACATCAAACTCAGTATCAATGATGGTGATCCCGTCACAATCTGTGTTGGTCGTGGAGAGCGTGTTATTAGGTTTTGATCTGCTCCTTGGGATGGACATTATTATGGAGCTGGGCAGCGTATGCATCACAGAGGTGGGCGAAGTCAAGTTTTTTGATCCGCTCATCTGTGCTGCTTTGAGGATCAACGAGCCCGACTTTAGCACAGAGTTTGACCAAAGGACGAAGACATGGACAGCACTGTGGAAATGGTTGGAAAATAACCTGCCAGAAAAGCTCCAGAACCGAGTGTCAGAGTATTCGGTGCCTGACCGCATCAAGGAAGAATACCAGCATGAATTGCAGGTGTAGCTGGACAATGGATGGCTCACTCCGTATCCCGAGAAAGAGCTTGGTCCTCCAAGAGGCCTCATCCCATTGATGGCCGTGGTACAGAAGAACAAAGGAAAGGTGCGCCCTGTACTAGATTATAGAGAACTGAATGAACATGTAGACATATACACGGCTCATGCTGATTTGTGTGCACAAAAATTGAGAGAATGGAGAAGAAAGGGGTCCAATGTCTCTGTGATTGACCTTTGAAAGTATTGCGGTCGAGAAACAGAAAAAATCTATTGCAGTTGCTACTATAAGTTGACAGTCTTTTCTTTACTTCAACAGAGAATATCCAAGAATTTAATTTTTTCTGATTACTGATTGCTTACTTTTATGATGGTGTTGATGACTACATTCACCACCAATGTGCAGGTTCAAGACTGGAAACTCCCAGTTTCATAAAAACTTGCTCCCGTCATCCATTCCCTATTACGTTTGACTTTGCAAGAGTTGATTGAAGGCAAAAGAAAATCAGAGTATGAGAAAGTGCTGATGGCATGTTTAAGGTAGGCCAGGAAGTGACCCACACACTTGATTTCATGACCCTCCTCTGCGGCACATATGGAATGAGACATATAGAATGAATGCAGTTATGAAAATGCAATGGACTATTGCTGACTCTCTTATAATTTTGAGTGGTGCCTTCTATGGCATGTTTGTCATAGCCCTCTTTTCCTGTTGGTTCAACCATTGAGGTCTGTTGTAATCATCATTCATTTGTTCCACAGTTTGGGGTCTTTGGGGTTGGTCATGCTTAGTATGGATCCTTGTCTTTGGTCTTGCTGCCAAGCAGGGCAAAGATGCAAAGTAAGAAAATAACACTCAAATAAATTAAAAAAAAATTAAATACTATTTTTTATGTCAAGTCCTTTGTACAGTAATTGGTTAAATGAAGAGTTCACATGCGAACAATTATCAACCCAGCCTGCTTCTAACTTGGACGTGACACTCTTGTTGACTTGATAAAGTTTGTTTTGCTGATTTGGTAATGTTTGGTACAAAGCTGATGTCTGAGGTTCTCGTCAGCAAATAATCATAACCAGTTGCTGGAACAAACTCTCTTCTTCTTGCTTCAAGGCATCCATATTTATTGACATTCAACCAAACTGGCATGGGGCATGGTGCACTTGGAGAATTTGGTGTTTCCCCTGCCCACTATCTCCATTGTCTGGGCCCTGAGAACTAAATTACTTCATAATTTTGGGGAATTCCCTTCATCTATGGGTGATGGTTACAAGCCTTACTCTGCTTCATAACTTCCACTTTCACTTATCATGTATGGGTGGCTCCTCCACCTACCTTGGTGTCTCATCTTCACCTTCTACCATAGCAGTAAAGATTAATTTTAAGTTTGTTGTTTACGAAAATAAAGTTTCCCATTCATGGCACATATTTTTAGCTGTGTGCAATGTGTCAATCATTGTTGCCCTTTTGGCCTGTCACAGTTCAAATCCACATCCACCTTATGTTTTTCATTGTTCTAAACCCCAACACACGATTCAGGTGGCTGTCTATATGAGAATTAAAATCTCACAGGTTTTATTCATTGTCCCTTATCAGGGGACTGTCAGTATATTGTTCCTTCTATTCAAAGAAAGCTTTCTTATAATTAATTACCAGTAACAAATAGTGTCACATGCATGCAATGAAATCTAACTCTGTACTTTCTCAAGTAAAAATATTTGATAACTTTTCATAAACTTTGCATGCCTGTATTTTCCATTTTTTGCAACCTAATTGAAAGCATGTCTTTTATTGTTTATTAGGTGGGCTGCAACTACCCCATACAGCTGACGTCACCATTGTATACACCAGGTTATTCTCTTGACCCACTGGTCAGTTTTACCAATACAGTGTATTGTGATGGGGCCAACCAATTTCCAGTTCCAAGTGACATCCCTTATCCACGCAATACCCTTTTTGACCTGATTGGTCAGCCCCAGTTAGCGGCTGGGGGCACTTATGATGCTGGCTCTCCTTGTCGAATGTCTAATCATGGCATTGCACTGAAATTCATGCTAACTGGTCTTCTCAGTGGCATTGCATCTCCGGTTTCTGTTATTAGAATGTCTCCACCTTTAACACAAAAGAATGCATCCATGTACAAACCTCTTTTGGCAGTCGGTACTTATCACCATTTTTATTTTATTTTTCTTGCTGATAAATATCTATACATGAATGGTTGTTTGGAAATGTTAATATGTATGAAAGGCTAAAATTGATGTCTTTTATGCAATACTAAATTTAAAGTTCTCTTGCTGTATGCCATGTCTCTTCAGGATGTAAGTGATCATGGCTCTCTACAGCTTCCTTTTGTTGTTGTTTTGCATGCAGTTTGTATAAAAGAAAAAAGATGCCATTAAAACATTTCTTTCTTTAAGTAATGATATAATAAAAAGTGTTTTTTTCTTTTTCTCATCTCAAAATCATCTTTGTAAAATAAAAGTTCAGGTGGACATGTATTTTTATGCTCCCCCCCCAATGAAATTTTTTATTATTTGTTTTTTAAATGCATCATTAACAGTTTCATGGCTATTGCTTACTGGATGCTAAACTTGTTGAATAATATTTATTATTTCAGGCAATCATTCTGGTTCTATACAGATATTTAATTTGTGCAGTGGACAGTTAGAAAAAGAATTTAGCCTTCATTCCAGTACTGTCAGGTATAAATATCTTCCTTATCAAACTGTAAGAATGTGATGTTATAAAAATTCTATATATGTATATAGAAATAAATGAATATTTTTTTCAAAAAGAACAATTTACAGTTAAGTAGTAATTGCTTGTAGTCTTGTAGCTTATTTTTAAATACCAGTAACTTATGTAAAATGTCTTAAATATTTTATAATAAAAGAAAACCGTTTTCTCCATTACTTAATGTATCTGTTCACTCACTCACATAACAACAGAAGATAATCTATTTCTAAAGAATTAATGGATTTTATTTTTTAATCTAACATTTTTGTTTCTAGAATTATTATGTATTTGAAATAGAGGTCCCCCCCATTTTTATTTATTAAAAAGTGTGTATTACATTTGTCTGTTGGTCTGTGCAATCGAGAAATTGCTGGGAACACATTTTCTTTAATAAGATTTGTCAAATATGTTAAAATTGTCTGTAAATTACAAATGTAAGGGAATAAGTGCTTAACTGTAGAAATAAAAATGCATAAATATATTCAACTATTTTCAGAGGAATAGAGTGGGCTGGATTACAATCGTTCATGTCTTATGCCTACCCTGAGCCAAATGCCAATGGATTAGTAAAAAATGAAATCTTACTGGTGGATATAATTTCAGGTGAGTTTTCAAATAAACTGTTGTCAGTACTTCTGATGGAACTTAGTCCAGCTATTTCTAACTTTAGAGGTTAGTGCTTTAACCATTATGTCATCAAAACATACATTAAAGCTTTTATTATATATAATGCCTTTCACCTTGAGTTGATGCATTTAGTGTTATCCTAGAAATAGGCTTTCAAATTTGAATCTGAATTTTTATCTGATGTAATTATTAATGTGATTATATTTAAGCTTCAGAAATTGATTTCATGAAACAGTTAAGCAAAATGAACATTTTTTTTTTTTTTTTTTTTTTTTTTTTTTTCTGTGACTAGAATTGAATAGGATATTCATCCTTACTAGATACAAAGAAAATTGTTTAAGTTTTAAAAAATCAGATCAATGAATTAAACATGCAATTGTTTCTTTATTAAGAAATGTAATTTATTTCATAGATAATGTTGACTGGAAAATCTCTTTCTTATTCAATTAACTACAAAACATCTAATTGAAAAGAATGAGTGATGATCATTAGATTTTTTTTACTCTGGACTGATATTAAAATGTAAGGATCAGCAAAGTGAATTGTTATTTTCAATATTTCAATAAAACATTAAAAAATGTGAATTTGAGATGTTTCAATTAAATTATAAATGTTACAAAAAATTGTCTGGCAAAATTAATCTGTATTCTAAGTTTTAATATTTTGTTTAAGCCATTGACTTTCCATCTTCTAAGCTCATTAAATTTAGTAGAAATATTTAAAATTTAATATTTTTAAGATATATTTTATCACAAATAATATATTTTTTTATTACAATAAATAATTGGCTAACAAATTAAAAATGAACCAAATTCTTAATTAGGTAACAAAAAATGAAAGTTGAGAAATTGAAAGAACAGAGAAAAAATGTTTCTCTTTGTTTAATTTTGGATTGTAGTCAGATGAGATCCAACAATTCTTAATTATTTCTTTATTAAGAAAACATTGATCTTTTTAACAAGCAGTAAAGTTGTGTTCTTTAAATTTTAAATCATTTTCAGTTATTTCTTACTGCCAAGAAATTTTATTTTCATTTATTTACATTATCAACTTAAAATCTTTTTTCTACTAATTATAGACTTATCATAAACCTAAAATAATTACAAAATTTAAATGTTAGATATTGTTCTAATATTGATTTAATCATTTTAAAACCTTTTACATCTAATTGTTGTTTAAGAAGTAGTAGTTTTAGTGCTGACACTAATCTAGCTTAATTTATTTGGTTTACCAAAAAAATTGATTTTTCTCGTAAGTAAATGGCCATTGTATAATGTTTTCGTAATTTTTATTTGCAATGCCAATTGATAGTTAATAAAAAATAAATTGCCCTTTTCAAAAGAATTCTCTGAGTTTGAACAATTTTCAATAAACGCATTTTTTCTTTCAGGAAACGAGACTCAAGTTCGTGTACGAAGAGATGAGGAATCCCCAATTTATGCATTACGCGTGTCACCCATGAGGTGATCAGATTTTTAACATCTTTCAGTTGTGAAAATTAGCTATTGTCATGATGCTTGAAAATCTCCATCTGACTTCTGCAATATCACGGTTCCTTTCTATTGTTGATGATATCAGTTTTGAAACTTATGTAACTGGTTGATTGGCAGAAATTGTCTATTAGCTTTGTATAAAATGAAACAACAACAATAGCTACTATATCGTTGCTTCTAATCAGAGGATGGCATTTATTAGATGATCAAGTCTGGACAAGGTTTCAGGCCTGAAAGTTCATTGGCACTAAGACATAGCAACTTAGCAAAAACCTCATATGATCAGATTTTATTTGTTCTGCATAAAAGTGAGGATGTAAAACATATGCAAATTATAAAACTTCTTTTCAATAATTTTATGATCTCTCCTCCTTTCTCATGTGGTTGTACAAAATGTTTATTAAACATGCCAAAGTTAATTATTTTTAGACAATTGCATTATTAAGAGAGCTCAGACCTATGACCACCATTTTTTTTACATTGTGGAAATCCACTAATTTTAACATTTCTAATTTGTTGTAAAATAAAATGATAAATTAATGCTAAAATGATGTGCAATAAATATTGAACAGTTTAAAAATAGTGAAAAACTATGTAGAAAAATTGTAGCATTAACATGATCTTTATTCTAGTTGTAAACCGTAGTAAATAAAAATAACCCTCAAAGACATTGTAAATACTTGGTTTTGCATACATGTAAAATATTTCCCTAGAAATAAGAGTAGCCAAAAATAAACCCTACATTTAGATTGACCCACATTTTTTTTATCTTTGGTAAAGTTAGTGTTTTATTAATTTTTATTCTTTAGAGGTTTCTTTTATAAATTCTCTTCATATTAAAAACTTTTTTTGTAGACAATATTTCGTGATTACATTCAAAGACAAACCATTTGAGTTATGGGATCTCAAGAATTTGTCTTTACTGCGAGATGTGAGGAAAAGTACTGCACGAATGACAGCTGTTGTAAGTAGAAAAATTTTAAAATAATTAAGCATTATGTGAAAAGTGGTTCTTCATTGTCAGTTCACAAATTGTTTGAGATTCTCAGTATTTTTGGTTGATATATTCTGCAGGCTTTGTGTTAAATTGCCAGAATTTTTAATAAAATGTGTACTTAATACTATGTGAGATTGCTATGCTCTGTTGTAGAAGCTGCTAACATCTCTGGTCAAAAAAGCTGCTGACATATAAAGTTCTTTCCCATACATTTACTGCATTTTCATTCCAATTTAATCCATAACACTTGTTTATAACTACCTAGCACCAGTAGTCATATTTTAATCTATCTGAAAGTCAGATAAGATAATTTCATTGTTTAACTCATTGTCTAAATTAGTTTCTTTGTCCTGAATTCTCACAATTTGAAGGAATATGTTGGTTGAAAATGTTCTGATAAAATGCTATGAAGATCATCTTCATTAGGAAATACATAAGGTCAATTTATGAGTTTCTCTCTTGAAAAATTATTTAACTTATATGCTTTCTATATTTTGATGTTTATATAGAAACACAAGCCTTACATCACATCATCATAGTTGATAAAAATGGTAGAATATGATGTATTACTGAGTAAATATATTGTTTCATTATAATCTACAGAAGTATAAAAGTGACATAATGATAAAATTGGTACTGTTCTCATGCATGTATATACACATACAAGTACAAACTTAGTTTGAATTCTGGTTCAAGTTGCTTGTATTATTTTTGCACTAATATCCTGGAAAAGACAAATCCATCACTACTTTCCTCACTGTCCCACTATCAATCTTCTTAGTCTTGCCATGATAGTCTGCCATAATGTTAGAGAAAAAGAGAAATGACACAATCTGCTCATTCCTGGTTCTATAAAATATAACAGGCAAAAATAAATTGCTACTTTATTGCCAACATTAATAGACATAGACCATAAAAAGAGAAATAATTGAACTTTTGATATATTTATTGTGTTTTATATTCATATTCTATTCTTATATAATAGACTGTCTTTGTAATCTACTTACATATAGCAAACTTTTGGTACCTGCAAACACATAGTTGTTCAGGTTACAAATTTATCCCTTTGACTTACTGGACATTGCAACATGGACTAACTCCTAAGGAAATAATTCTGTCTATATTTCTGAGATGAGGTATTTTGTACACCACTCACATTATTCGGACTATTGATAATATGGCACACCTGAAGAAGGCTGGAGTGTACAATGGCCAAAGCTTTGTGATAAATATAGCACAGGTTGAAATCATAGACAATGAACATCATTGTAAATTTTGTAAACTTAAGGAATCAGCACATATGCTAGGCCACAAAAATCTCCTGAGATGACCAAGCATAGAAATGAATACAAAAGGGGAACCAGTAATAAGGAGTACCAGAGAAAAGTGATAATAACAATAAAAATTCCAATATGAGCTCTGGTAAAAACATGCAATGATTACAGCAAAAATTGCAATATGAGCACTGTTAAAAAATGTTGCTAAAGACATTAGGTTTATAATACCCAGAAATTCATACACAGATGTCCTCAAGGACACCTGGCACAGTGGATAAACACGTTAGTTAGATCCAGTGACAGGACTCAAAGAGTGTGAGTTCAATAAATCCAAAAAATACCAAGAAATCTTTTCATAGATTTTTAAAAAATTAAATTATTTAGATGACAGATCAATTTTTCTTTAAAAAATCACTGAATTTTTCATGTCTGTCAAAATTTGATCAAATTTGCATTGCTCTATAAAATATCATAAATCCCAACCTAGTCACAATTTTTTTTTATAATCTCTTTTTATAATCATTAAATGAAATTTTATATTTGTTGGTAAAAAACCTTTGTTTTGAAGAAAGTTCTGTGAATAACAAAATTTGTATTTATGATTTGTCAATCTTGGAAATAACAAGTGAAACTACAATCTTCTTGGTTTACTCTTGCCTGTTCAGCTGCTATAGCCCACAACAATCACTTCTTCTGGTTATGCCAATGTGGTAGCCAGGATCATAACAGAAGCTTCTTTGTAATAATTGTAAGCAAGTTGTTAATGAGGCTAAGTAACTGTTTGCTGATAGAATGCGACACCATATAATCTCTCACAAGTTTGATTCTCACCTCTGTGAGAGTTTATTAAACTATGGTAAATCCTCAATTCTGCTTCTCTTCAATCAGTGTTGTCCTATTCTACTGCTAAAGCAGAATGCTTTGCTCATAAATTTTCTTACAATTACACTCTGGGCTTGTCAGGAATATCTTTTCCTGATTTTCTATCTAGAACCAAGTCTCTACTGTGGGATATATATAACTCTGTCCATGGTTTCTGCTATCATTTCCAAACTAGATCCCCACAAGGCATGCGAACTTGATGGTATCTCAGCAGTTGTTTTATTGTCCAGTATCTATATTGATAACACAGCTATTTATTCATGCCATAATAGTAAGTCCAATAGGTTTGATAAAGCAAAACTTGCAGCTGATCTCAAAAATAACCTTCAATCTGTTGTTAACAGGGGCAAGAAATGGCTTATACATTTTAATATCTCCAAAATTAAACTACTATCTTTTAGTCATCATAGAGAACCATTTCATTGTTCCATAAAAACTCATTGCACCTTCTTGGTCTCGCATTTTCCACTGACATGAAATGGAATGATTATATTGAATCTGCTGCTAGGAAAATTGGTTCACTGTGTCATGCCAGACAATTTTCTATAAATATTTTTTTATAGCATTTGTTCTAATGAGCTTTCTTTTTTGGTTTGTTGACCTCATGAATTTAAGAGTAGTTAAGATTGGTAAACTAGATCTCTTTTATTTTTATTTTACTGTTGAAATAGATGTAACTGTAAATTCTATTCTAATAGTTTCTTCTCTTGCACTTCTCACTGTGAAATTCTTCTGGTGTTTTATTTTCCTGTCAACTACAATCTTCAAAAATTTAAATGCAACATCAATCACCTCTTTCTGAATTCTTTTTTTTATTGTCCTTTTTCTTCACTAACATTTTCTCATTCTTTTTCGCTCTCAGTAGCCTCTTGCATCTTAGTAGCATTATTGCCTTATTTGAGGTGAAATGATTAAAAAAAGAAAAGAAATATTCATCAGTATCATTTTATTTATGCCATGTGGAAATATCGCATTTTTAACACTCATAGTTTAACTTATTCTCTAATTTAGTTGGCCATTTTGAGGAATATGCATTACAAGACACCATAATTTTCAGTTAAAGATTTTCAAGAAAAATATTAGCAAAGAGATAGTTTCTAGTTCACAATGACACAGGTTTACTAGTCAGTGCAAAAGGACTGTATTTATCTGCACACCCATTTAAGTAGAATATGACACAAGGCTGTATTTAAGTTGGGAACTCCATGTATACATGGGATGGGTAACAATTGCTCAGTTTCCCACAGCACTTCTCTGTTGGGACAGGCCTCAAACATAATGACCTGACCATCTTAGTGTAATAGGAGAGGTGTGATCTGGATCTGGGCATATTGTTCTTTGAATCCCACCCAACTAGAAATGGTTAGGGTAGATTGTAAAGGGACTGACTGAGACAGAAAACTCCAGCTTTTATTTAATCTTGGAAGAGGAGTCCATTTGAAGAAAAGTATGATAGCATTTTTAATTTGGAAAGTTTCATAATAGAATTTTAACAGTAAGCATTAAGAAGAATTACTGCAATCTCCCCTTTTGTACATGTGGTGGCATCCATCAGTTTCAAGAGACTATGGATCTGTGCCTGGGTATATTGTTTTCTTTTAATTTAACTGGTGGTGGTAGTGCTGCATCTGTATTTCCCAATCAAACAAAAATGTGATGCTAGAGTATCCTTTTTTAAGCAGAATTTTTTTTAATCTGAGATTGACAGTTATCATCAATGTTGTCCAAGGGAACACAGAAATTGATACTGTTTGGCACTAGTGTTTTTGCAGGAGTTGCCAAAATGAGGTTGTGCTGCCTCTATCTTTAGGCTTTATCTTCTAGCTTTTTACATGATTGGGCATGGCTGCAAGACAGAAGAGGATTGAAATCAGGAACTACCCTCCCAGGCTAACATGTTCCATCTACTTGATTTAAGCATTACTCCTCCCATTTATATCATGCATTTTGAGTATATCCATTAAAAATAATGATTTCTTATTGTTTGAAAGAATATTTATCTCCACTTGGTCAAAACTCCATCATTGCCCATACAAAATAGTCATTCCAAAAATTTTACACAATATAGGAACAAACAGGTAGTACTTGTTGGAAGTTCAAACAGGAGCATTTGGTGTTACAATAATAGATAAATATACAAAATGTAATTTTTACAAGAAGAAATTCATATATAATTCAAAAAATGTGTTTTGCAAAAGAACTTCCAGCAACAAGTTTTAAACTCTCATCATCAAATTCATAATTACAGATTTTTCATAATTTTGTACACAAAATGTGAATTGAATTATGGGAAGGATTATTTCATTTTACTTGAAAGCATTTGTTACACCTTTCAGTAAGAATAAAAAAGGAATTACATTCACCCAAATACTGCTTTATTATGTTTATTAGGAATGGTTTCCTGCTTCCAACATCCGTACACTGAAGAGAAAATTAAATTCTGAAAATAAGGAAAGTGAGAATCCTGTGAATCTTAATGCTGACAGTCTTTCCACATCTTCATTGGCCAATTTGGAAAGTTCTTCAGGGTATGGGATTGTCTTTCTCATTATTTTCTTGTGTTTATTTTTTCTTGTTTTTAATTGGGTCTATTGTTCATTTTATTTCAAACACCATTTAATTTGTCAAAAAAAGTATCTTTTATTATTTCATATTACTGTCACATATTTCAATAAAATTTTATTGTACTTATCACTTGAACACATTACAAATTTAGATAAATGAAAAATTGCATATTTTTTTAAACAAAATAATTCTTGTCATCCACAATTTCAAGACATTGTCCTTAGATATTTCTGTTTGTGTTTCATGTCTGACTTGTCCAAGATATTTTGTTTTTTGTTGTTAGAGTAAAAAAAGTCTTTTGATTTTATTGACTAATGTGTGTTCTTCTTGACTACAATAGTTCTGAAGATTCTTCAAGTCCTGATGTTGTTGACACTCTGTCTGCTCTGCACTGGTATGTAAGAGAGTGTGCGTGTTCATTGAAGTGGATGTTTGCGGCATGCATTCTTGCAAAATTAGCAAGTTTCTCTGATAAGTTTTTCTTTCAATCAGAAATTAACATTACATACCAAAGATCACTGTTCAAATTTAATTGATTTTAAATAGGCACTTTTGTAAATTCTAATGACAATTTTATTAACCACTTGAAACAGGCTGATATCTTGCAAGAAATTTTTTTTTTTCTTTTGGAGCAGTTGATGAGATATTTTAAATATGTTATCACCTACTGACTGTTAGTATACAGGGTGTGATGGGTAAATTGTCGCCATTTTATATTTTTAATTTCATGCATGCACATTCTTTGGTTTTTGATTTTGTTGACTGCACTGTATAGTAGGGTCAGTTAGGCACTGTCTGTAAGAAAAAGCACCATCATGCAAATCACTCTGCCAGAAATTTATAAATGGCATGCTGTACTGCTTGGCATTTGCACCAGAACCTCCCATATGAAAATTTCAGAGTATTTGGGAATAGTGCGAACTATTCAGAAAGAGTTGGATGAGTCTAATGGTAGTTATGAAGGTGTTTGTAGTGATCTTTAGTAATGGTGATGTTATTCCTCCATTCATCTTCCCACTGGGCCTCAGACTCAGCACAGGCTTACATCAAGTGCTTTGAGGAGGTAGTGCTGCCCTGGGTCAAAAGGGTGGCTGCTGGAAGACCCTATATCTGGCAACAGGACTCTACACTATGCCACACAAGTAGGAGAACTCAGTCATTACTGTCAGTTAATTTCTGCGACTACATCACCCCTTACTAACCACCTAACTCCGCAGACAGCAACTCCCTTGATTATTCATGTGTGGGGCACAGTTGAGCAAGATAGCAACAAAACTCCTTGTAACACCAAAGATGAATTGAAAGCAAGGATTATGGAATACCAACTTAAACAAGGAGACTATCCAGAAGACTCACAAGAGATTCCAAAGTTGTCTGGAGGCTGTGGTTGTAGCTAATGGCGATTTTATTGAATAAATTTACTCTTTAGTATTTCAAGATATTTGTGTGTAATTTTGGTAAATATATCTGTTAAAATGAGATGTCAGTATTATTTTCATTTTTGCATAATTTAGACCACAATTTGTCCATGGCACCCTGTATGTGTACCCCAGGGAGATGGGGAAATTTTTTGCCAACATGTAATAAAAAAAAAAAAAAAAAAAATTTTTTTTTCTTTAGATCAAAAACATTAAAAAAACACAAATGATTAAAAATTTGCAAAAAGCAGGGATGAAGATTAAGTTTAAAGTTTCATATATAGTAAAAATGTAATTTCTTCTGTAAGTGTTACAGAATGTGGAGATCAGTCCAGAATAGGAAACTGTTGGACAGAAGCCCCTGTATGCATGGAATTTGGACAGTGATGAATTGCCTTTTGCTAAGTTTTGAATATAAGACCAAAGCAACATGAAGACAGCAGATAGCTGCAAAAATGTCTCCCACACCCAAATTCCTTAGAGAGGTTAGCCAGCACATGACAGAATGCTAAGCCAAGGAGTCAGCATGTGTTCCCCTGAAGATCCTCCTCCTGCTATTTTACTGTTTTGATCACTTATTTTGTAAAAAAAAAAAACTAAAATTCAAAGTAATCCAAAAAAATTTAGATAGACTGATCTATCCATATGACTGTCTTTCTCAAGAAGTAAAGAAGTCATGGCAATCTGCAGATAATAAAGAAAAGTCATCTGTGGAGAGTATTGTTCACCTACATTCTCATGATGTTTAAAAAAAAAAAAAAAAGAAAACCTTTTCATTCTCAGCAAAATATCCTGCAACATATTCCATAAGAGACATTTTAGTAACTTTTCCACTTGAATGCTTCTTCTTCTTTTGATTATATTAACCTAAATCCTTTTCATTGAAACCGATCATTCTTTTGGACAGTCTTATTTTGAAACCTACTCCAATCAATTATAATATTTTCTTAATCTGATAAAGCTGATATGGGCAAAAAATTTTCCATTTGATAAGTGATTTATTTACTTCGCCATTCTCTCTTCTTTCTGTCATTTCTCTTTGATAATATTGAAAATGTTGTCATATTTTCTAAATTATAGATATTCTATCAGATATTCACCCAAATCCCACTTTATTCAAATCAACGTCCAGAAGTTCAGTTTAAACATCAAGCTTTGTACTTCAGTTCCTTCATACCCACTGAATTAAAATTGCCACAGTTTATAGATTTTGAAATAAAAGAAATAAAATTTGTACTTTATTTTTTAACTCTTTATTATTTGATCCTTTCTCTGGAATTTACTGATTTCTTTTAGTGTTTTGCAATTAAATATTCAAAAGTTGATCCCAAGTTGATAAATTGCCATATTTTTCAATGTTTATGACTTGCATATTTCTTTTCACCAAGAAAAAGACTTCAAAATGTAAGATTTTATAATCTGAAGGTTATAAATTTCAGGCATCTGACATCTTTTGCTGTGAGAAAATGCATGCACATTTTTTCTTGAAAATGAGGTTATTTGTTAAATACTGAAGAATACACTAATCTTTCTTTTTGTGTAATATTGAATTAATACACAAGGCTGTATCTGTTTAGCCAACCTTGCTTGAAAATTTTATATTTTAATTATCTCTACTTAAAGGAAAACGTTTCTTGATTAAAATGGCTTTTAAAAAATTCTGTTTTGATTTCTGCAATTCAAAATGCAGCCAAATTGTCAGAAATATTACTTTATTTTTAAAATCAATTTTTTTATAACAGTTAAACATTTTTGAAATTTTAAATTTATGAAAAATATTTTATTGCAAACTTCACTTTTCAAAGAGAAAAATGTTGATTTCATTAATTTTAATCAAGTGATATTTCACTTGTAAATTGAGTTTTGTCCAAAAAGGCTCAGTGGCATTTTTTCTACTTTTTTTGAGAATTTAATAATGTTTCCTGAACAATTCAGACTTATCCTTATTTTATTTTTATTATTTTTTGTCTGTTATACTCATTGGCTGTTTCCCTCACTTGATTTTGACATTGGGCTGTGAATTGTGATGTTTCTCTTGGAGAAAAACAAAACAAATCCTGCTTGATACTCAAAAACTTGGATTAAGCAAAGCCCAGAAAATGCATCAATCAAAACATAAAAGCAAAATGAAGATCACCATCCAAATAATTTGTACAATGAAAAAATTAGTCATTTCAATATTGATTAGCAATTTAAATTTTTCAATGTTTTTATTCTTTGAAGTGAAATTTACCAAACTTTACCAAAAGAATTTTCTTGTTTGATGCCATTTCTAAAATGTGTTTTGTAATTTTACAGGGATAACAAACCAAACCCCAAAGTCATTGGCAAAGAGCACTTGGTATTCACTGATCAAGAAAGCACCTTGTACCATTTTGTCATTGAAGGAAGTACGTTCACTGATGTCTCTAAGATTCCAGTTGAAGTAAGTTAACTGTCTTCATTCTTCCACAAATTTTGAGGGCTATTCCCTTCATCTTTGTTGTTTTTATCACAATGTTCAGGTCAGTACACTCTTTAGCTTTCCTTAAACATATATTTTGTATAATGTAATCTTAAAAAGAAACAGATTCACAAATAATTTGAGTGTGGAATTAAGGCTTTCTTAAAAAAAATTAGCATACAAATTAGTTTTTGAGTGATATGACCAGATTATTTTCCAGTCTAACTTGAGTCTTTCTGAGAAGAAAAGTGTGTTCCAATTGAGAAATAGTAATTCTTATAGCTTTCAAGCTAATCACAATTTGTTTCATGGACACATAATTTACGAAATGTTGAAACATAGCAAATGTAAAATATAAGTACATCTGGATAATTTTTATTACAATGCAGTATTTTTTTTTGTTATGACAAGCATATTAATTCAAATTAAAGAGTTTCAATATTCTTTATAGAACTAAAATCTGTCAATATTTTTTCTGATGAAAAGATAACCTTTTACTTTCAGTGTTTTGGGGCTTACAAACATAAAAATATTAGAAATTTTTCTACTTGAACATCACCATAACGGTACATGTGATGGCATTTCATTTCTTGGTTGTGTTGTCAGGAACAGGGCAAGAAATGATTAGATGACTTTAACTTGAGAAGAAAAAAAAAAAAATTTGTATCAACTTCATTAGTTAAGAGTTATCAAGAATTCATCAAGGAAATTTGCCTGTTTTGTGTAGCTAACCAAAATAATACTTGGTTGAATGGTAATACTGGTATACAAAGCTTCACAAAGAGCATAATAATAATACAAAGTCTTTAGTTGAGTTTTATGTTGCTAATGAAACAAATCCATCAGTTGGATCAAATTGCTGGAGAAACTGAGTTTTGAGAGTCACTTAACAACTTAGGAAATTCTGAGGTATGTACTTGTGTATGATAAAAGTTCACAAAATCCAAATCTCCATGAATACACATGCAACCTCCTTGCAAAAATCTTCCTTTTGTAGTAGTTCAGTGGGGACCCTTATCAGATTTTTGATTTGTGGAGCATCGAAATGGATTAGCATATTCTATGTGATTCATTCCACTCAGTGAAATTTGAACAATGATTGGTTAGCAGAATCTAATTTACTGACTTTGTTCAGTGGTGAAGCATTTCTCTGCAAAAGCAGCATGCAACATGAAAGCGTTTTTGCCTTTGTGGATATGTCACCATTTTCTTTTGTAAATCATCTGAGAAAATGATCAAAGGATCTGAAGGAATTCCCAAATATAATAGCTTGTCTTGTGAGATCATAAAACTGAAAATATACTTGGCATTTTCATTCCACAAATCATAAAATTTGTTAACTTCCTTTTTCTTGCAAATCCTGTAGTTACATTTGTATTTGCATTTTTTTTTTCACTTCACTCCTTCATTGTGTCAAATTTGAATATATGCGCATATTACTCTAATTAGTTCAGAAATTTGCTCTAAAGTTGTGGTTAACAAGTTAATTTTTCAAGTCATTGCTAGTTTAGTGAGATTAATTAATTCTCATTAAATGCTCACTAAGTTTAGTAAATACTAATAAGTATTTTAAAATAAAAGCATAATTTTAAATATCTTTTAGTTCACATCCCACTGCTGCTAGCACCATCACCTTTAACAATACTATTTTCAATAATAAAATCTTTCTTTTAAACATAACAGATAAAAAAGCACTTATACACAATAAATTTTCTCTAACGCTATAGAGGAAACTCCATCCTGTCAATTGTCAAAAGTTTTACACTTAAGTGAATTCATTATATTGAATGATTACCATTCAACTTTTAGAACAGAAGCTAGAAAATATTCTTTTAAAATTATCTTAACTGCCATTCTACCCAAAATGCAGAAAAACTAAATTTCACTATGCCATTTCAGACAGTAGATTGCCATGTGCTACTTTTGTAGGTCATTGTTAAACAAGTTCTCAACTCTTTGAAAAATTATTTTGTTCATTATTTCCTTTTGTAATCTATTAATATTTTTATCATCCATTTTATGAACAATAAATTATATAAAAACAGAAATTAATGTTTTGCAATCCAGATGTCTAACCATAAAAATGATTTAATGATATAACAATGACTGCTAAAATTCTTTTAAAATTGGATCATATTTTTTCTATGACTTATTCAAATAATTATCAACCAGTTTGTTTTTTAGCCTTCCTCAAGTAATGTGTCAATTTCCAAAGAACTAAGAGCTCATTTCTTCAGATAGATTTTTCCTAATTTAAACTGCTAACATGTGTTCCATTTTATTTCTCAACAGAGCGGTTTGAGCGTGATTACTTCTTTGGCATGGAAGAACGACCATTTAGCATTTGGGGATATGGATGGCATATTATGTATTTGGGATCTGAAAGGAAGAATTTCAAGGTAAATAATAGAACTTATTGACTTTGCTAGATATATACCTTCTACAGTGTGATGTGATCTTACTTGCATTAATTCAAACTCTGACTTCAGCTATTTGAATAGATGAAAAAACATTGACACAATTGTAGTTGCACGAATCTTTTTTTTCTTTCTCAAAGGCATTAATTTTTGCTTGAACTTTTGAGGTGAGGAATTATTATTTTACACAGATTTGTTCAGAAATTGGCAAATTACAATAGAAACCTGAAGAATTCCAGAACATACATTGTCAGAAACAAGACAATGTCACGTCCAAAGAAATCTGTTTAAATGGGCAAAAAGTCACATTAAATCCTCAGTCATTGTAATTGACTTTGTTGCTTGGTAAACACATTACTTAAGAAAAATAATCACAGATGGATAAATGTTATGAATTTGTGTTTCTATGTAGCATATTTTGCCAATTTCAGGCTTTTGTTCACAGGTTTGCAATTTGGGTCGATAATTTAATATCACTGGAGAAAGTTCTCTTCTTTAAGGTCCTAGTTTAATGGAGACAATGTCTGAGTTACCCGTTTTCAAATGCTAATGAGTAATGTTCCTCTTTCTTGAACATACATCAACTACAGTTGAAGTATGATTTGATTCCAACAATACTTTGCCTGCATTCACAAGCCAAAATAAAATACTGGCTTCATATGTAATGGGCATTTTAGACAAAGGCCAGAATCATTTCCAATTTCTAATATATGGCCTACTTATCTCACCAATTTTTCTGTATTGTCAAACTTTGGGAATGTTATAGAAATCCCTTCTTATGGACATGAAGTATTCCTGTAAATCAGGTTTGCAATGAAACACTGGTTAGTGTATGATCACCAAAGTTAGGCAATATCCAGCCTCGTCAGTACCTAGATGGGTGACTGCTTGGAAATACCAGGTGCTGTAAGCATGGATGTGCAGGTTGTGTAAAGGATAATGGTTTGGAATTGTTAGTTGGAGAGCCGAGTTCTGATTCCAGTTGAGTTTATGTTCACTTATGTGCAAATACCTTTGGAAAAATAAGAATCCAACTATGGATTAATTATCAGGGCTAAAAAAGATGTATACAAAATATTTAGATTTTGGCATTAAATAACCCATAGATGTTGATATATCGCAAAACAAAAACAACCAACCAAAAATTTTCTAAATCAGAAATTAGTCACTATTGACATTCTTCAGTTTCTGTTTTTTCATTTCAGTTTTGGCAATTTTTGGTTTGAAGTTAGTCAATGTTTATTTTGCTCCATATTTTTATTATGAGATCATAAATTTTTATCACATTTTCTGGTGTTTTACTGGTAGTTATGTAAACATGTAATGCGACCCTTAATCAAGCTTTCCACCAACTGGCTAATAACTAAGCCACATTACATTTCAATCTTCGATCTCGTCGTGTTCACCAAAAGCTGGGAAAGGGTATGATGCATGCTTACAAAGTGACTCAATGAAAGATCAACACCACATTGAGAAATAAGGACAACTCCTCACCCATCTATTCATCCTGACATGGTGGCTGGCATTATAAAATGAAGACTTTGGAACTGTGCCATTGGCCTGTCCTTCTCTTGCTAAGAGCAGACCAGAAATCTCCCCAATCACAAGCATCACTGTTAATATAGACCAGCACCCAGATATACCACATTTCCTGTTTTGTTGCTACTAGATCTGCAAAAATCCTTCAATCATCTTTTAAATTCCATGTTACCCTTCAAAGTGAATGACTCTTAGAAGAACGAACTTCAAAATGAACTATTTTCTGGTCCATCAAACAGAAACACCAGAGATCAAAATAAAAATACTTCTTCCCTTTCTAAGTTGGTATCCAAAGTATCACAATTAGTCTCCTTGAATATTCATCATCTAAAATCAACACTCTACCTTAAAATGTTGATGCCACTCAAAAACTCATGTTTGATCAAAAGAATATTTGCTAAGATCCTGAAAAGGCGTTTTGATAGCATCAATAGCAGATTTGAGCATTGCACAAAATTTGATGCACATATGTTGCTTGGATTTGTCATCGTAAAGTTCACAGACCCATTCCAACTGAAGTTACAACCTGCAAGAGCCATGACATAAATAAAAAAAAAAAAAAAAAAAAAACAAAACAAAAAAAAATAATCGAGTGGCTCAGTTGTCAAGAATATAACCTGGATTCCACTTTAATAGTGAATTTTTATCACAAGGTCAAAAATGTGAATAAGAAAACTGACAAAAACAAACCACAAACCCAAATGTAAAGTATAATGAAATTTTAATTATACATAAAATAATTTGAGAAAAAGAATATCAGAATGTTAAAAAAAATGTATGCAGCGTGTGATATGAATACGAAAAACACGTAGCTTTTTCAGTTGATTGAAAGCAAGTACACTTAATTTTTTCTCTCTTCTCTTATATCTTTCCTCTTTTTCTGTTCTTTTTTTATATAATATTTAATGTTTCATTTTCTTGTGGGTGTAATTTTTGTATTTTCAGGGTTTTGTCTTTTTTTTTTTCTTCACATGTGAAAAAATGTTATTTCTTTTTCTATGCTTCTTTTGCATAAGGTTGATTCATTTCCATTTAGAAATGATCTTCATTGTGTTGATCATCACTGACTCCACTGAATTTTATGTAGACCTGTTTGGTCACACAAGTGTTCCATAACTGAGAGTTTATGTGAGTTGGGGATGGCATGGCACCTGTTCTCTTCATTTCAGTGAATCCATTTGCATGACGATTTCATGGATGGTTCGACTTCTTTGAGTTTTGTTGCCCTAACTGACATGCCGCATTTCTTTTATGTGCAATTTTGAATATTGAGTTAGGTGACTCCACGTGAATAATTATTTTTAGCATCCATACGACACTCGCATTGCTAGGGGTCAATCTGTTTAGACTCCACGTGTTTTTGCCTGACTGCTTTTAGCTTGCCACAGAGGTAATAGTCACAGACAGAGGGAGAAAGTTACCTATGCAACTTAACATCCCTGGATTTAGTGAATTTCAATTAGGTTGTGTTGGCATAGGATCATCACACTGAATGTAATAAAACCTTGTATAATAATTGAACACAAGTAGATAGTGCACAGCCTATTGGCAAACTGACTCGGTAGGTGTGGGACCAATAAACTATAATTTTTTCCATATTTCATTTGAACCATACAAACAGCATATATAGTCTGTGATCTTTCCAGTGCTGGTATTATATTAAAATAATTGTAATTATTTTTCTTCTTGCTTATATACAAGAAAATGTTGAAAAGTTCTAAGTCTGGCCAAGATTGGATTCCAACAGAAATTACACAACTTGCTAATAAACTTATATGCTGTCTTTTACCATTCTCCAGAAGTACTCTCTTAATTTTCTTGATATCATGCCAACAAGGGTAATGTGTGCACTTCTCTTTCCTGATATGGCTTGTTATCCCAGACTGTTCTATCTCCCATTTAGCTATAATTCTCTTATGTTCCTTATTTTGAACAATTATTTTCTCCTTTATATACTTTTCCGCATTTACATAGAGGATATGTTCAGCTGCAATATTTACATGGGTGGCAGTGAATGCTATTGCCATCCATATATCTCATGTTGCTAGAATTAATCACTCTAATTAGTATTTTAGCAAGTGTTGTTTGTTCATTTTCTGGCAGCAGTTTAAATTGAAGAGAAATAATACACAGAAAAAAGAATTATTCACCTGAAAAGGGCTTGTATAGATATGACTAAAGTATTATGGTAACAACTTCAATAACACAAAGGTGGAATACAAGTGTCGAAACAAAGATTGGAATTTCTACCTTTATTTCAAATTTCAAATGCAAATTTGGATTTAATTATTCAATTTTTTCTCAGCCCAGACACCTGATTTTTTTATGCTTTTAATTATTATTTTAGCCAACTTATTTTCAACTATTTTGTGGTGTGTTGTTAAAAGTTTAAATTGAAAAAGAAACTGGAAATAGATTGTAGTACCAACTGATTTGCTAGATTACTTCCCTTGAAGAGAACTCCCAGAGAGTGGCAAATGCTATACAGACAAAAAAAAGAGAACAACTGCTACTAACATAACACCGTAGACCTGTTATGTTTAGTTATATTTCTTCAAGCTAATTCATATATTCCTACAGCCCCAGGCTATGAACAAGTATGTGCCTTATAAAAGTTACATTACATAGATATTTGAAATTCTGATATGATATATTGTTCTTATTTTGCAACATATTCAGAATTATCTCCTCATCTTTGTGGTTTTTATATTTCAGCTGAGGAGGTGTTGTATCTTTAGTAATTCTTCAGTTTCATCTGGTATTGTTATGATGGTCAAACTTAGTAGTCGTAGATATTCTACATACACTGACTCAAAGTTGCCCATAAGCTATAGTTATAGCTCTCTGATGCTTACCTATTAGCTAAACCAATCCTACACGTCCTGGGTATGATGTTAAACTGCATCCAACAGCAAGGCCTCAGATCAAGAGGTTTTGAGGAACGTGGAACCACCTCTTAATTGCTGGTGTTCCCAGGTTCACCCTGACCCGGGGTGGTAGCACCTGTTAGGGTTCCAGCCATGGGCAAATAGTGAACTCCCAGTCTAACCCACATTCTGGGTATGACGGTAAACTGCATCCGTGTCCAAGGGTATGACAGTAAACTGCATCCACATACTGGGTATGGTGATAAACTGCGTCCAACAGAAAGGCCGTTTTTGAAAAAATAATAATATTAGAAATAATGCTGCCAGCAGTGCATTTTTGAAAAACTATATTACCAGCTATACGTTTTATGGAAAAATAGTATTACCAGCTGTACGTTTTTGAAAAAATAATATTACCAGCTATACATTTTTGAGACCCCGAAACTGAGGTAAAAAGTATTTTGAAAGTGTAAAAATACGTTTTAATACCAGAAATACTTTGAAAAAAAATTATTACCAGAAATAAATTTTTGAAGAAAAAAGACTATTACCAGCAATACCTTTTTGAGGGAAAAAAACTATTACCAGCAATACGTTTTTGAGGGAAAAAAAACTATTACCAGCAATACGTTTTTGAGGGGAAAAAAAACTATTACCAGCAATACGTTTTTGAGGGGAAAAAAACTATTACCAGCAATACGTTTTTGAGGGGAAAAAAAACTATTACCAGCAATACGTTTTTGAGGGGAAAAAAAACTATTACCAGCAATACGTTTTTGAGGGGAAAAAAAACTATTACCAGCAATACGTTTTTGAGGGGAAAAAAAACTATTACCAGCAATACGTTTTTGAGGGGAAAAAAAACTATTACCAGCAATACGTTTTTGAGGAAAAAAAACTATTACCAACTATACAATTTTGTGGAAAAAAATTATTACCAACTATACAATTTTGAGGAAAAAAAATATTTCCAGAAATAGTTTTTTGACAAAACAAAAATATTACCAGGGGAAAAAAAAAAGTTGTCTGCATTAAATGACCCATTGAGGTTGATATGCCATAAAACAAAAGAAACCAAACCAATCCTATTACATCTTCCTGAATCTTTCGGGTTTCATGTCCTGTGTGGATCTATAGCTTTTACTACATTTCCTCCTCCTCTCACTGGTTTCATGAGTATCTCATTATGGAGGACCTTGATCTATTTATTCTCAGTATCCCATATTTCGTACTCTGAGTCTTCCGAAAAACTTTGATTGTTTATTGATTCCTCTGCCTTGCTTTGTTGTTCATCTACATATCTAACACTTTCGCCCTGGCCCCTCAACCTCCGGCGTCTTACTCTCAGGGTTGATGTGTCTACTTGGTCCTAACCGAACTTAAGGGAGTGGCCATAGGTCTCCTGAGCATCCATAGATTATTCGACTTGTCTGCTGGTTTAACCCTGCTTCCTGCTCACATTGTGATTTGTTTGATCCAGAAAGCAGAAGTGATGTCCGTCCAGTCACAGTTGACTGAAGATGTAGACACAGCTGGGGAGTCTGCACTAAGAAATTTAGAATGCAGCAAAAAAAAAAATTAATATCTGCAGAAAGCCAGACAAACATCGATTCAATGGTTGAATTGGTAATGTCTTTTATATAGCAGAAAAGAATAATAGAGAAGAGAAATGGGTGACAGAAAAGTAAAAAAAAAAAAAAACTCATACACTGGATTCTAGACAGAGAGAGAGAGTGTATGTGATTATCTTGTTAAATCATCTCAGAACAATATAGGACTCTTGCGATGAAGGGATAAAGATTTCTGTGTGGGGCTTAAAGTTATAGTGGCATTCCTCCTCCCAACACTCGCCCAGGCCAATTCTCTCTTCGAGAATTTTCTCCCGTCTGTCTTTTTCAGCATAACTACGTGTTCATATAGATAAACCCGGCTGGTTATAACTGACCCTTGGCCCTACTACTTTGCACACGATTATCAGGGTTCTGACTGTTTCAACCAAAATCATGTGAATTCCAAAGTTCCTTCTAGCTTACTCAGCTCTATTTCAATTTTTAATCGATAAAAATTATTTCGACCATTTTCATTGTCTCTGATGACCCAGATTCAATGGGTACAACTTCTGCTCTAGATAAGATTTCCCCATCAGTAAATAAAATGCTCTGATTTAATTTCGCTATTCAAATCTACTCCAATTTCATTAAAAAAAAATATATGTGTGTGTGTGTTTCCCAGACCTCTCTGTCACACATAGTCATTTGAAATAGCTTCACTTTGTACTTCCTCGTAATTTTGGCTAGCTCTTAACTGGTCTGCATGGACAACAATCAACAATATTTTTACCATTCTTGCATATTAATGCTGTCTTGTACTCTTTTTGCATTATGAAATTTGTCTGTTTAAATTTGGTGGTACACATTTTTTAAATCAATTTGCTTTTTCTGGCTCATTTTCTTTATTTCTTTTGTATCATGTTTTCACTAATAGAGTAGAACATGGTTAATGGAGCTCTAATTTGTTAGCATGTGGTATTGTTCCGTAACTCAACAATAATCTTGGTAGGAAAGTTTCAATCTTTTCTTGCTGAGAAGAAAATGCTTTCAATCCCATCTTTATTGTTTGGATCATTTGTTAGCAATCCCATTTGATTGAGGGTGGTAAGGAGGTGTTTTATATGGACACAGCTAATCTTCCTTAACCATGAGCATAGACTTTCATCACAGAATTCAGGAGCATTCCATTTCTAGCAAATATTATGCGTAATATTTGTTTTACAGTAATAGATTTTTTTATCCTAAAGTCTGAAAACTTCAGACCAGGCAGGAAAAGCATCAACCAGTATTAGACATAAACCTACCCTGTTAACTTGTGCATGATTTATATGAACTGTAGACCATGGTTCTGTTTCCTTAAGCCAAGAATGTAACTTATTGTGGCAAAAATTCTTTATTTCAGCACATTTAGGACATTTGCATACATAATTCTCCACATCTCAGGTGTGTCCTGGCCAGCACACTTCCAGTTTTAACCGTTTTTGTGTAGCAGTTATCCCACAATCCACATCATCATGAACACTTTTAATTACTTCTTTTCTATATTTTTTTGGTGGTACGACTAAATCCCCATGACAAATTAGACCATTTTCTATTGATAGTTTATATCTGGTTTCTTTGTATGGTCTTTCTGCTTTTGAACAATTACTCCAGTTCCTTATTCTAGACAAAATTTGACTTAAGACTGGATTTTGTAACATCTCCATATATATAATCAAAAGCTATTAACTTTATAGCCCATCTTAATATTCTGGATGATGTAGCTTTCAGCAATTCCTAGGATGGAATATAAATTCTAAGGGCTTATGATCGGATCCCAACAAAAATTCTTTTCCTAATAATTAAGTACTTCCTTTTCAATATTAGAGTAGTTCAGTTTAGATGGTGTCAATGTCCTGGACAGATACATCATGGGTGTCCTTCCTAGGACAAAATTGCTGATACATACTGGCCATTCACATCTGTGGTTAACGTAATGTCCTTTTTAGGGTTAAAAATCTTGACACAGGTTTTTTTAGATAGAGCTTCTTTTAATTTAATGAAGATTGTTTGGTGTGCACTAGTGTATTCAAACTCCTTATTCTTCTTCACAAATCAGAAAATGCTTCAATTCCTTCAGAATATTTTGACAAAAATTTGCTGTAAAAATTGGCTAATCTAAGAAATGATTCCAATTCTTTTTTATTAGTTTGAGAAGATAAATTTAATATTTTTTGTATTAATGTCGGGTAACCCAAGAATGTTAATTCTTTACAATTAAATATACACTTTTGTTTATCATCATTCCTGCCTTCCTCAGCTTATCCATTACAAATTTAGTTTTTTGTTACAGTTCTTCTTCAGTGGTTGCACCTAAAAATATATTGTCCTGATAAATTATATTTTCTACTCTCCCTGCTAACAAATTTTCCATGGCTTTTTGAAAAATTGAGCTGTCTGTCTTAACTCCAAATGGTAAACTCGGACCATCTAAGTAAGCCTATGGGGAAGTTTATTGTTGCGATTTCTTTAAATTCTTCATCTATTTAAATTTGGTGGTACACATTTTTTAAATCAATTTCTGTAAAATATTTCATTCCTGCCAAAGAATGTAGTATATTTTCTATGTTTGGAATAGTGTAGGAATCCGAAAAAAAATCTTTTTAAATTGTTTTTTCTCTGTTCTTCTTTACAGAACCGTTTCCACACACCGGTCTGTCATTAAGAAAATCCGATTTGGGCCAGGGAAGGCTAATCTTAAATTTTTCCTGGTCTACAATGATGGATTGGATATCTTTGAAATCAAAGATCAAAAGGTTAGTGCTACTTAAAAAAATTGATCTTAAATGTTTCAGCATTAAATTATTCAATTACATTTACCCATTTTAAAAATACATAAACTTTCCATTCTTTCATAAAGATTTTCCCTTTTCGGCATAAATAAAACAGATTTAGGTTCTCCTCTTTGCTAACAGATATGAATATTTTCCAATAAATTTATTTCTGACATTTTTCATTATTTCTGACATAACAACATAAGTAAAAATCAAGTTGCAGTTTTAAGTCCACAATCAAAAATATTTGCTCACCAATTTCAATTTTTTATTTTAATCTTTTAATGAAAAATCTTTGATCATACTACTTACTAAATTAAAAATTTTGTTAAATTTTTATAGAAACTGCAGTTGATGAGATTTGAACACAAAACTCTGAGTGTTGAGCAGATACATACTTATCATTTAGCCATAATGGGTTTTCACTACTTAAATATAATGTTTATAGCCTTATAGTTTTCTGTTTAGCATTTTGTATATGAGCTGTTGGAAGATAAAATCAAATGGTAATGTATATCTGTAGAACAAAGTAAGTAAAGTGTAAGAATAATAAGTGATTGAATTTAATGAGTTTTTTTTTTAACAAATATTTATACACAGACAAACATTCTTGATATTCTTATGTTCCTGTTAAAGTGAACTTGGTCACTATTATTTGTAATGTATGAAATAATATTTAAATTCAGTTTCCTATTAAAGTCTCAGTAGTACTTTTTTTAATCGTTTCATTTTGATCTGTTGCCACTCCTGTCGTTAACCCTTTATTATTAGAAATGATCTCTTCATAAGGAATCATTTGTATTACTTCCATTCCATAATTATTACATTTGCATACACATTTCATGCACTGTATATAACAATTATCATGTGATAAATGTAGTGTTATGCAGTTTTAAAAATGTTTACCAAATTATTGCTTGATTTTTCATTTCTTTTTCCTTAGCTGCACTTTTTGCCCCATATTTGATTTGATGGATCATTGCTGTGTGATAAAATATTGATTTCAAGTGAGAAAGGATTCTAATTTATAAGATGGATTTTATTCTTTATTTCTCTTAGTATGATGATCCCTTGTCATTTGAAGTAAACCTGATCTCAAATTTTGACAGATGAATTTTGTTAATTCAACCAATTAACTTTTCAGTTATGTTTTTACTGATTGACTAAAAACATTTTGAGCAATGGATTTCTAAAAACTGTTTTAAAGTTTGTCTAGAAAATTTTTACGTGTTTGTATCAAACCTCTTTAAATGGAGTAAAAAAAAAAAAAAGGAAAAAAGGAAAAGCACTTCAATTTCCCCATTGAATAAAATATTTAATAATTATCTGAAAATTTAAATGATTGCTATATTTGTTATCAATCTTAAAATCATTTCTCTATTCAGATAATTCCACTATGACTTGTAGATAACATAAGTCATAATAAAGCATAGATTATTTAAATTAATCTCTGTTCAATGCAATTTTTTTAAAAAGGAACTACTTACATTGCAGTTCATAAGCTTTTTAACCTGATGACATCAGAAAGGATTAATTGTTATTTTACTTTTTGGCTGATTTATTAGAAATTAGTCTAGATTACAATTAATGGAGAATATTTTATTTTCAAATGTTTTATTTTATGTGAGTAAATTAGATAAAGTGTGAAATTGCATAAAAATGAAACCAATAGAATAATTGTAGTTTAGATAGGAAGTCAATGTGATTAAATCCTAAAAAGGAATAACATAGAATGAAGTATATTTGAGCCAAACCCTAATCTAACAAATTATTAAAGTAAAATAAAAAAATTATTCAAACAATTTAGTTGTAAAAGAGAGACAAAGAAATGTTTGATAAAATTTAGTCTTTGTCATGTGACCAAGATCAAAATGGATACTAATTCATATATAGTAGGTTGATGAGAAAAATTTGAAAAGACAGCATAATAATTATAATGTTTATTGTCTATTATTTGGCCATTAGACAGAATAAAAGCATGAGAAAAATGTTAAAAACCAGAATTTTCAAACCCGCCTGAACAAATAAAGAAAAAAATAAAATGAAGTTGAACTTTTTGGGGTTGGAGAAAAAAAAAAGTTTTGTTTTCCCTATGTGTATATTTATTTCTATATTAAGAGTTTGTGAACATTAATGGACAGTTGACCTTTGGATAGAGGATATGGGATTATTTTAGTTATCTATATTGTTTTGACCTAGTTGGAGTGTGTAAAGCTATTTTTGTTTCCTCACTCACTAAGTGCTGGAGAATCAATTTCTCTTATAGGTGTAGAATTTTCATATCCATTATTGTGTATGAATTTGTGTGAGATAGTCGCCTTGTCTGAATGGTTTATCTTACTGATTAAATCTCATACTTTTTGGCTAGTTGTCTGCCTCGATTATGGTGGTGGGGGTGTTTGTTCATAGATAGCATTTTATGGAAACTATATTCATTGAGTATGCTTAAATTTCTATTTAAGTCTAGAATGTGGGAATTCATTTTAAAAATTAATTTTAACTTGAACTTTTAGTGATTTTGTTGATGTCTAAATGAAGACGCTAAAAGGATGCATCTGATTTGAGTAGTTTAGATTATGTAAGGAGTGATTATAGATTTGGAGTTTTAATTCTTTTGAGGGGATAACCTTTATTGAAAGTGATTTAGATGTTTTTGGGATTCCCAGACTTAAAACAGATGCATTTCAAATTTATGTAGCATTGACCATCTGTGGATTTAGTGTGGAAATGTGGTTGTTGTTTAGATATACACATACAACCAGAAATGGAATGAAAGTGACTGAATATTCCATTGTGTATTTCATAAGTTGTTGATGTTTTGTCTGAAATCATGGAGAGGATTCATATGAATCCTAAAACATGACCTTGCATCCCCAGCTAGGTTAAAACAATATAGACCAATTCAAATAATCCTGTATTCTCATTCCAAGGGTCAACTCTCCAGTAATGTTACAATGTTACATGAGCCCTTATATATATATATATATATATCTACGTATGTGCAATTAGAAAAATATGCACTCTGGCAGGATTTGAACCTGCGTCCCCTTGGGCACAGAGAAACATTGGAGAGTGCATATTTTTCTTTAATGAGATTTCTTGATTATTCAAGCTGATAGATGAAAATATATAAATATACTGTTTAATAAATAAAGGAGTATCTACTCAAATATGAGTATCCACTAAAAATAACAGTTAAAGTGATAAGATATATCTGTAAAAAGACAATATGAATAAAGACAAAAAGAAAACTTATCTTAGCTGATGCATTTAGTTCTCTGATGGACTTTATCATGGTTTGATAAAATCCATCAGAGGACAAAATGCATTGGCTAAGATAAGTTTTCCTTTTTTCTCTTTACTCATATGTGTGTGTGGGTATATATGTATGTGTGTATATATATATATATATATATATATATATATATATATATAATGTGTGTGTATGTATACCCAAGTATAGGATTGTTGTATATGAAATAAATTCCAAAATCAAAAAATACTTAAAAGAGTGCTCAATACAGCATAGAGCAAAAATAATTTATTTGAAAATTATGACATAAATATGTTATAAAATCACTACAAAAATAGCCATTTTGTTTCAACGCTTCTGGACACCATCACTTGATAAGACACCAGCAGTGCTGAAACAAAATGGTTATTTTTGTAGTGATTTTATAACATATTTGTTATAATTTTCAAATAAATTTTATATATATATATATATATATATATATATATATATATATAGTGAGAGAGAAAAGTTAAACTCAAGTTTTTAAACAGTTTTGTTTTGGAAAGCATGCTAAATTTTTTAAAAATCCATGTAAAACTGTGTCATTATCTTTTAATCTTTATTATTTAATCAATTAACCAGAGTGAACATTGAAACCGTATGTATCTCAAATAATCATAGCCACATATTACAGTCACTCTATTCCATTTGCTGTAATCAGACTTGAAACTCAAATCTTCAGCTGTACTTACATGACTAGTATCAAACCAGTTTTTAAAAAAACATGTTTTTTTTTTTTGTTAAAAAGCTGTATTTAACAGATATTTTCTTTATCTAAGATCTAACTGCTGTAAAGTCATTCTACAAATGGTTGACAATCATAGCAATGATTAAATACTGAAAAAACTCACAACTGATTTTATTTTGATGTAAGAATACATTCGCCAGAAGGAAATACACAATGCAGCCTTTATTAGTGTGTCTGGGTCTGAAGATTACTGTACAAACACAATATACAGGAGAGCTTAATTTTGAAATCTTTTCCTAATGAATAGATCATTAATGTTGAAAATAGTTAGTTTATTAAGGTTCTTTCTAGCAATTTTGAGAATTTAAAACGGGAATAGCCAAATTTGCTTTCTAAATATTCAGTGTAACAGATTGCCATGACTTCACCCTTAAAATGTTTTTCTGTAGGGGATTAAATTATTCATTCTAGTCACATTTTATTCTTTGTTTAAAGCAATTTTGATATGATTTTTATTGTTTGATTACTTAAATATAAGTTAAAACTTTATTTCTTAAAGAGATTTTTTTAAATGAGGTAATATTTAAAAAAAAAAACAAATATAAAATTTTCCTGATATTATGTATGATCTTTGGTTTATAAAAAACTTCAGATATTACTAGTCATATTTTAAATAATATCAAAGAAAAAGCCCAATACATCATTAAAGAGTAATAATTTTTTAAGAACCTTTTTTATAAACTTTAATTTTATATCTCTGGTCTGATGAGGCAGTTATCTGTCTGAAATAAATTATTACCAAACTCTTTAATTATGTATTATTGAGTTATTCCTTTGATATATATCATATTGCTCTGCATTTTATATTAAAAAGACCTATTTGAATTATCCTTACCACTTACAGATTTGATATTATGAAATATATATTTTCATTTGTATGGATATTAATTAGCTCTGTTACAGATACTGAGCACTTTCCACTAAGTACCACACATACAA